CGACAGACTGCCGGATTGTCCTTCTCCCTCTTCAGGTTCGGCCGACCGAAGGCTATTCGGTCTTCTCGGAGTTACTCCTCCCGCCTCACCCGATGGTGGCCCGATGCTGTGGCTTCTTTGGGCGCTGATTTTGCTACTTTGTCTCTCAATACCACGATAAAGGCTCCAAAGTCGCGCAAAGGAGACTACAAGATTCATAGTTTGGATTTTGCCGATGGGTAGCGGCTCATGGCGAGTCCCTCAAAGCTTATCGGCTTCCCCACAGGCATCCTACCGAGTGCAGGACTCCAAGATGTTGGCCATTGATGCAGAACTCAAAGCGGATGTTGAAGCCCGGTATCAGCGTTGGCCTCGGCAACCGGCTGCTGCTTGGGATCTGACGGAAGACAACTGCGTCAAGGTTAGAACATCTTACCACCCTGTTTCAATGGCAGGGCAAGGTGTTGCATGATTTGCTGGCGCACCTCCGGCTGGCTCTGGCCATGACAGCGGTTGTTCGGCGGATGGGTTTCCTGGAGCCCTGTTCTTGGCAGGAAGAGTTTAAAAGGAAACTGTTAAGAGCCCCTTTTGCGTCTCGTTTCCTCTTTAATGGCGGCATTCGGAGGTGTATAAGGAACACGCAGAGCTTACCAATACGGAGGTTTCTTTGTCTACGTTCGAAGCTTTGAGTTGACGGCTTTCGTGGCAGATCATCTGCAAGGGGTAGAGGAAGCGCCGTTACGTCCCGAAGAGACTCCGTCGCGGCGCCTCTGGCAGAAGGGCGTGGCGTGGCAGATCGAACCTGTTTTTCAGCGCCGTCAGCAGGATCGTCCCGGGACCCCCGCCGACGCCCGGCAGGGGTAGGGGCGCCCGCCGCCGATTCGCTGAAGTTGCGACCCAAACGACTGGGACCTCCGCCCCAGTCGTGCGGTTCGATCCTACTCCAGTAGGCGGGAGACTGGGGATCTTCTGGCCCAATTGGACAATCCTGGAAGACCGTTTATCACCAACATTCTCAGGACCCGGTTACAAGCTGCCAATCGCCGTGTCGCCGCCTCTGACTTCAACACCCCAGTCGCGTGTGTATGCTCCAGACCAACAGTTACTGCTAGCAGACAGCATCCACACTCTGTTACGCCAAACAAGCTATAGAGACAGTGCTAGACCCCGACAGTCCCGGGGTTCTACTCACCAATCTTCCTGGTTCCCAAGAAGGACTCAGGGAAACTACGAATGATTCACAACATGGCAATTTTCAACCACCTTTATCTTTCGGAACCGCCTCACTTCCGCATGGTGTCCCTGGAACAGCTCTGAGCCAAGCTTGCGCCCAGGGTCTGGTTGGCCAGCCTCGACCTTCAGGATGCCTACCTGCATGTGCCCATTTACCCACCGTCACAGAAAGTACCTGAGGTTCTTTTCAGCGGGTCCCACTACCAGTGGAAAGTGCTTCCATTTGGAATTTCCACGGCCCGTGGCTTTTTACTCGGATTACCTCGCCGATCACCCGGTTCCTCCATCTCAGGGGCATCGACTTCGACCCTTATATAGACGACTGTCTCATGAACCACCTCGACCCTCAGTTGCTTCGCAAACAGATGCACTTTGCCATTCATCTCTTGCAGCAACTGGGATGGATTATCAACATAGACAAATCCCACCTGGAGCCGTCCCAGGAACTGGCGTTTATAGGAGGCCTCTTCCTGACACATTGCGACCTTGTCAGGATTCCGCTAGATCGCTGGAGAAAGATTGTCAGTTTAAGCCAACCGAGGTCTATCCCAGCCGCTCGTGCTCAGGGAGTGGCAGTCCCTCTTAGGTCTCCTCACCTCAGCCCAGGACTTGGCGGCTCAGAGGTGCGCTTGATGCTTCGGCCGTTACAGCGCTTCCTGTTGCCTTACATCCAGGCGGACTGACCTTCAGTTGAGGTTCCTTTTGCCCCTGCATCTCCACGCTTACCTCCGTTGGTGGACTGTCGAGTCGAGCGTCTGCGCAGGAGTCTCCTTGACAGAGTTTGTTCACGATCCACGAACTGTTCAGTAGATCGTCTCTTCAAGGTTGGGGTGCTCACCTCAGCGACCAGACCACCTCGGGGCTGTGGTCAGGCACCGAGCTAGGATGGCACATCAACAACTTGGAGCTGCAAGCAGTCATTTTAGCGGTTCGACACTGGGTGCCTCTGTTGCGGAACACCAGGCTCCTGATAGCGTCCGGACAATTCCACGGTGGTGTGGTTGATTCACAATCAGGGAGCGACCAGGTCCAAACAGTTGTTGGAGCAGGCGTTCCAGCTGGCCAGTCTCCTGGACGACAATGGCATCAGCGCCAGAGCCCGACACATCCCAGGGTGCAAGAACGTTTTGGCAGGCGGCTCTCTCAAGGCGGGCAAACCGTCTCCAACAGAGTGGATGCTACATCCAGAAGCGTTCAAACTTCTTTGTCACAGTCGGCCGCCCTCTGATCGCGACCTGTTTGCGACTCGCTTCAACACACAGCTGCCGTTATGCGTGTCTCCTATTCCAGATCCAGCGGCATGGGCGGTCGGCGCCATGTCCTTTGTCGTGGGAGGGTCTGGGCGTAATGCCTTTCCACCACCAGTTCTGTTGCCAGCGGTAATAGCAAAGGTCAAGCGGACAGAGGCGATTCGTCTGCTTTTGGTCGCGCCTTGGTGGCCAGCCAGAACCTGGTTCCCAGATCTGCGCGTCGTCTCGCCGAGAAAGAAGTCGCAACAGTTACCAGACTGGCCTCACCTGCTCAGGCATCCCCACAGTCGACAGTGGCATCCCGATCCGACTCGGTTTCATCTGTGCGGTTGGATCATCTGCAAAAGCTGAAGGCCAAGGGCTTCTCCACGGGTGTCGCCAAGGTTATTGCTCGTGCTCATCGAGTCTCCACAAGATCACTCTATGATGATAAGTGGGTTTCTTTTGAGAAGTTTTGTGCACAGAAGTCCAAGGACCCATTGAAGGCTTCTCCTCAGTTTATAGCAGAGTTCCTTCTCTTTCTTCGGAAGTCCCGGCGTCTCAAGGGCAACACTATAGGAACTTATTTATCGGCTCTTAACTCCGTTCTGGCGGTCAAGTGCGACAAAAAGATTTCCAAGGTGCCAGAACTCATCGCCGTCCTCAAAGCGTTTAAGCTGGAGGACCAGAAGGCAAAGCTCCGTCCTCCGGCTTGGGACCTAAACGTCGTTCTTCGTCATCTGAGAGGTCCCCCTTATGAGCCCTTGGACACGGCTTCTTTTGAGAACCTCTCCAGGAAGACAGCTTTTCTCTCTGGCCCTGGACAGAGCTAGGGTTAGTGAGATTTCACCAGGGTGCGTTCTTGGTCCGGCATGGTTCATCTCGGACTGCTTTGGGATCTCGTGGCCAAGAACCAGCTGCGGGACTCCATCCCTCCTTTGTCTTCCATTCTAGGACCTCACGACGCTGAGGAACAGCTGCTTTGTCCCGTGAGGGCACTTAAGATTTATATTGCCAAGTCATCTTCCAGGAGGCAGTCTCGTAAGAGACTGTTCATCCCGTTGTCTTCTGTGGCCAAAGGTGAAGTTAATAAGAATACGCTTGCGCTCTGGCTCCGTACTACCATCCTGACCGCCTACGATGCGCAAGATCTGCCTCATCCTACAGCCACTAATCCGCATGAGATTAGGGCTCTGGCATCCACCATGGCTCTCCACAGAAACTGCACCGTTCCAGCCATCATGGAGGGTTGTTTTTGGAAGTCCTCTACTGTCTTCGCTAGTCATTACCTGCGGGATTTGGCCGTCGAGGACGTGGAAGGTCTTCAATCGTTTGGTCCACTGGTGGTTGCTCAGCAACTCACCCATCCTACCGCCCATTAGGTAACTACTTCTTCTTACCTTCTGGTCTTCAGGTTAACTTACACTCTGGGTGTATTTGTTTTCCTTAGGGTTGCCTTTAGTCACTATCTGTCTCCTGTTCAGAGGCCTCCTCGCGACAGTCTGGCGATTCAGTAGTTTCTTCTGGTTTTCCCTTGGCATGTGGGTTTTCGTGGGGACGGTCCTCTGGAGCCCGACACCGCCGTCCTACTGTCGAATCCATATGCATAAGACCTATGGTAAGGTAAGTTAAAAATTTATTAAAATCTAAATATTTTAGATATTTAAATACTTACCTTACCATAGGGCGGTAACTCCCTCCCAACGCTGGATGCTCCTCCCCTCTCTGGGCTCTTTGGACCTGGTCAGTAAAAGTGATTTTGGATGGACCGCGCTTGCGCGGGAGGGGAGATCACGTCACTTCCGTTGCCTGTACACTCGTCGATACACGAGGTGGCCGTTCTACAGAATGGCGAATCAACGACTGTCTGATCTCTTTAAGCGGAGCTTGAGGTAATATGCATAAGACCTATGGTAAGGTAAGTATTTAAATATCTAAAATATTTAGATTTTAATAATACAGTATATACTGTCAGTGCTTTTTGACTTAGGGTAATCTGTGACCCGCCGTCCAACCGTGGGATAAGTGCAAATCGTGAGATAGGATAAGTTTAAAAATTTGAAAATTTTAATATAAATTGTACATTTATATACTTATCCTATCTCACGGGATGGATGCCCACCCAGCCTCCCCTCTACTCAGATTACGACGTATAACTGCCATTGGCTCCAAGAAGAGAATGATCACTCTGAGGTAGTCACGTGGGTAGACAGGGGAACGTGCTGCACACTTAGCCTGGGACTAGGGACCTGTCCTATAAGGAGAGCAGCCTGGGGAACACAGGGGTATGGACAAGAGAGGCCTACTGGAACAGTTCTCATTCGTTCCACTCAGCGTCGAAGCAAGAGAGAGAAGTGCAAATCGTGAGATAGGCTAAGTATATAAATATACTATTTAAGTTAAAATTTTCAATTCTAAACACCTTCAGGAAGAACTAGTGATTTTCTTGTGGACTACTACCTAGGTAGATCACAACACTACTGCTGCTCAAATGGAAACACAAATTAATGAAAAGACTCAGATGTTTGAGTTCTGTGAGGTTGTATATCTCTATTACAGAGCTGTCATTATGGCCAGACTTTGATGACAACATTGACAGAGGATCAGAGAGCCCCAGGTCTACATCATCAGTTGGACTTCCCTTCCGGAGGTACTTACACCTGAAACGAGCAGAAACTGAGGGATGTTAATTTGGACTCTGCAAATAAACCTGTAGGGAATCCAGCTTAGAATTGGTTCCCAGTATAGCCTGTGCCATGTGTCGTGGATCACTGTCCATAACATCAGTTACTGGGTTACCTGTGCATGTGAGGTGAGGTGAGGTGAAATTGGGTTTAACGTCGTGCTTGAGAATATTTCACTCATATGACAACGTGCATGCGTGTGTATGTGTGTGTGCAGCTGCTTGTACTAGCCCAGACTTAAGCTGGTTTTATAGTGTTAGCCCACTGAGATACCATGCCTCAGCTTCTCCGGGCGGACGCTCTAACCACTACGCCACGGAGGCGGTTACCTGTGCATGTGGGCAGTGGGAGAACCTATTGGTGAAAGCGTTTGCTCATCGCCATAGACGCTGCGTCCCCCGCCGATGTATTGCTGGAATATTGCTAAAAGCGGCATAAAAAATACTCACTCTCACACCTGTGGACATCTTGGTTAGAATTTGTCTTCAGCAACGCCTAGGCATGTCTTAAGAAATGACAAGCAGGTGGTCAGACTGGGTGATTGGGTTGTGTCATTGTATCCCAGTCAGAGATTGAGGTTGAAGTGATTCACTGGACTGTCTGGTTGAGATTTACAGATCAGTGTCTTTCAGATGAACATAGGCATGTGGTGTTAAACATCAAACACATGAACAGCATCGGAAACTCATTTTTCCATGACATTGTGATGTTCAATGGTGTAAGATGGTGTACATCAGTATAGTAGATATTCTAATGATGAAGTTCTGTTTTGTGAGCTTATTTCCTGCTTGATGACAGTGTCCCTCTGTTCTCACTAGGTTGTTGTCCAGGGCAGGCAGCCAGGGAGATGGTGACCGGTCACTCTACAGGGGCAGCCAGGGAGATGGTGACCGGTCACTCTACAGGGGGGAGCCTGGACAGGGTGTGGCAGGCAGCAGTAGGCGACCGGTCAGTCCACAGTGGCAGTCTCTCTGGGCTCGAGGTGTTCGAGGAGAGATCTCTCAAGCGGGAGAGACTCAAGGTAAAGCAGTAAACTAAGGTTGTGTGACACCTGGAATCTGGAATCTCACAAGCAATATGTTGTGTTAGTAAGATATCATGACTTCGTCTTTGGTTTCTTCCCAGGATCTGGTAACAACGGCAGTAACTCGGATGCGAATGTGGCCCGTCAGTTCGGTGTTTGACCAGTGGCTAGAGTTCACAGCCAGACAGAGGGAGCTTAAGTCACTGTCGTCACGGTTACAGCAACTGCATGACCACACCACTCTGGTCATCTTCCTCCATGACTGGAAGACCCAGCATGCTGACATGGTCAAGGCTAACACCCACTGTGTAAGGCTTTCTTCACTACTTCGTGTAGCTTCAAGTAAAACCTTTACAGAAATTATGACAGAGGCACAAGTACCAAAAGTCCGAGTTGAGTTGATGAGAGCGGCAGATAGATGATAGGTCATGTGTCTGCAGTTTTGCATCTGTGTTATGTGTCGTGAAATCTTCTTTAAGGGAGACATTTCACAAATTCATAAGTACTGATATTGATAAAAAATAGGAGGTATTACTGCAGTTAAACGTCTGAGGCCCAAACAGGTCACTAAGGCAGGATGGTCTTCCATTCTTGTGGCTCAATTCAATTATGAAACACTGAACTCAAATAAAATCTTGAATGATCACAGTGATCGGAACGTCGTCATGTCAATCCAGCAAATCCTGTTTTGTTCATTACTTTAAACAAGCTTGAGGTAGTGTCCACCTATTCTGGCCTGCAGTGAACTTAGTGTTTAAGGTAATGGTACAGTTACAGTAGGTGTGATAACAGTGAGAAGTCGGGAAGGATGATAGATCCTGATCATGTAGTGTCACTTGAATCCTGTTTGTGTAGAACAACGTCCTGATGAGAAAGTCTGTGCGAGCTCTGGCAGAGTACAGGCAGCGACGTGGTGACAAGAAGAAGTTATCCGACCTTGCTGGACGCTACAACCAGCTCATTGTCTACAAGCAGTACTTCCCACTCTGGCTAGCAAAGGTAAGGAGTAAGACAGAACATTTCCTCATGAAGAAGCTTACGTGTTTGGCAGTATTAGAGCCATTATCAAATGTGAGTGTCTGTTATTGGGAAGCTAATGAAGTCATTGGATGTCAAATGAGCCTATACTTGCCTCTTAATACCTCCTGTCTGGTTGTATGGTCATGTATTCGTATCGGGTCTAGTTTATTGAACAAGGTTGGATGTCACTCTGGGTTATTTATTTCTACAGACTCAGGACCGACAGCACCAACACAACATCCTCCACTTGTGGTCCAACACCACGCCTGAAGAGCAGAAGTTACTTCCCTTAGAACGGAGTCTGACACGACAGTTCTCCCGACGGACACTGCGACTCTGCTATGCCATCTGGTCACTCAAGTTCCAGTTTGCATCCAAAATTAAACATGCCTACCATTCAGGACTACTCAGGAGGTGGGTGCAGTAGAATTTCTTGGATGCATTGAGAGTGGAGGGGTGTGGGGGTGGCCTAGTGGTTAAAGTGTTCGCTAGTCCGAAGATCAGGTTCAATTCCCCACACAGGTACAATGTGTGAAGGCCATTTCTGGTGTCCCTTGCTGTGATATTGCTGGAATATTTCTAAAAGCAGCATAAAACCATACTCACTAGAGTGGATGGGGAGGGTATACGAGGGTCTGTGAGGTACATAGACCTAGTGAGCGGAAGAGAATGCTGCTGAGGGAGACTACAGTATCAGTTGTGATTGTGAGAAACAGCCTCCAGGATCTGTTTAATGTTTGTATGATCCACACCACTTACCTGGATCAGGTGGTCAACATCAGTCACTGGAATGATTGGTCTTGTACCATAGTGCTCTGGGATATTGCTGATGACATCAACCAATGTTTTTTAGGCCCAGACTAAATTTTTTTGCAGGCAGACATTAGAAATGAAGGGAAAAAGGTAAATACAGACACAGGTTGAGTTGATCAGTGTTTCAGAAAGGACTGTGACATTCAAAAGAAAAAATGTTTATCGTAGAAGGTGAAATAGACTGGGCCCCTTGGGTTATTGGATGGATGAATGGATGGATGGGAGGATGGTTGGGTGGTTGGTTGGTTGACTGGTTGGTTGATTGACTGGATTGATTGATTGATTGAGATGCTTTGGTGACTGAAGTGCCGATGTTCTGTTCCTGTATACAGGACACTTGGCGGCTGGCAGGAGTGGAGCAAGCAGCGCCAGGAGAGGCGGGAAAAGTGTGACACGTTCAGACAGCAGCGGGTCACAGCACTGGTCAGTTCAACACAATATATATATGAGATCCATACATTTAGTTACATTTAGATGTTTTGCTTTTCTTGTGTATCTCTCTGAACATGATGTGTACTCTCTTCTGTGAAGAGAGGTGAAGCCCCTTCTACTACTGCTTCTGCTACCAGTACTACTTCTACTACTGCTTCTGCTACTAGTACTACTTCTACTACTCCTTCTGCTACCAGTACTACTTCTACTACTCCTTCTGCTACCAGTACTACTTCTACTACTACTTCTACTACTGCTTCTGCTACTAGTACTCCTTCTACTACTGCTACTTCTGATGAGGTTTGATGTATAAAATATTCCGTGTTGAAACAGGTGTTCAGATTGTGGCAACAACGTCTGGAACAGAAGAGAGAGAGTGACAGACGTTACACAGAGTCCTGGCAGAGGTACCTCCACACAGTCCTTGTTACATGGAAACAGTGGTCATCAGGTGAGGAGCGATGTCTTCAACAGCACACAGAACCTTGTGTCAGACTATACTTAAAGCAACTGACATTCACAAACACAAACCTTTTACACTGTATTACTGAAATGCTTGGTATGTGGCCACTGTGTATATCTAAAAGTTTTTTACACATGCATCACTTCTGGCCACTCATATCACAGCTGACACACTTGAGCAGGAAAGAATCTGTTTTACTGAAGCCAGTTGGTTATGTGTGGACACTTCCACTTACTCTGTGTTAAGAAGACCTAAGACATTATCATGCTATTGATGCAGTGACCCATCAGCGCCGCGATACAGCCATGAGCGTGATGACACGGGCCAACCAGAGCCTCCTCAGACAGAAGCTTGTGTATTGGAGGAGTCTCACTGTGAGAACTCAGGTCACTAGACACAACAGGAACTCTCACCTCACAGCACGGTGAGTGGGCAACACAGTCACACACTGAAACACTGTATCTGATCTGGTGAAGCTTAGTTAGTCTGGCCTCAGTATCTACCTGTGTTGTGGAATCAGCATGTTCTGGCTCAATCTTTATTGGTTCTGAGCTCTGGTCCTCCCAAATCTGGACACAACTACACAAAAAGCTGGTGGACCTGAGAACTTTGAGCTGACAATCCACTCAATACTAATATGTATTCCCCTTCTTGCAAGATGTTGATGGTTTGAAAGGCAATGTAAAGGACACGGCATGAGATTGAGAACATAACAGACTATGAGTATCTGCCACAATATATACTGCTTCACTGCGGCATGGTATCTCAGTGGGCTAGCACTATAAAACCAACTTAAGTCTGGGCTAGTACAAGCAGCCGCACATACACATACACTCGCATGCATGTCGTCATATGAGCGAAATATTCTTAAGCACGATGTAAAACCCAATTTCACCTCACCTCACCTCTCTCTGCTTACTACTTGAGTAGTATTCGTCACTGATCATATTGGAGTGTGTAGCAGGATCTGCTTGTACACCCTGCACTGTATTGCTAGTGTCTAAGAGTTAGTGTCATCAGATCATTGATTCTTCCTGTCCTCTACTGCAGGGTGTTCTGTGCATGGCAGGAGTTCATCGCACACAGGAAGAGAACACGCCAACTAATTCTCCAGTTCCAAGTGCGCTGCTTCACCAACCAGGTAAGTTCCACCTCCACGTGGACCTATAACCTGCTACAGCTATAGTGAGTGAGTGAGTGAGTTTAGTTTTACGCCGCACTCAGAAATATTCCAGCTATATGGCGGCAGTCTGTAAATAATCGAGTCTGGACCAGACAATCCAGTGATCAACAACATGAGCAACGATCTGCGCAATTGGGAACCGATGACATGTGTCAACCAAGTCAGCCAGCCTGACCACCTGATCCCGTTAGTCGCCTTTTACGACAAGCATAGGTTACTGAAGGTTCATTCTAACCCGGACCTTCACGAGTCCTACAGCTATAGTAAAGAATGGAGGATATGCAATATTTCTTCCTTGTAGATACCGCGGGGTATTCCAGGCCAGAACTGGTCTGTAGCTATCTATGTTGATTGTAAGAGGTGACTCCATTTATTGGGTGGTCAGGACCATGTTGATGTTGTGCCAGCATGCCAGGACCTGGATTGTCTCTCATAGTATCAATCACTGGAAGTACACACATTCACACACATGCATCGGTGGTAATAAACAGCGAAGTATTCACTGATGATTCAGTTACGTAGGAACCAACCAAGCACTGCACTCAGAGTGTTTCTGTTGTCAGGTGAAGCAGTTGTTTGGCCAGTGGCGGCGCCAATACATGAGCCGGCTGCGAGAGAAGGCGGAGCACCAACAACTGGTACAGATGCAGGCCCTTCAACTGGCTCGTGTGTGGAGGAAGAAGGCCCAGACAAGTCGGGGCAGGAGGCTGTACGCTCAGCTCCAGGAGGACAAGGTCCATACACACACTCAGCCTTAGTATTTGATACACAGATTATATTCCAACACTGAGTTAGCTGAAAGAGAGAGACTGAGAAGACTGTTTTCTGAAAGGAGTATCTTGATTGGTTAATTATGGGGAAATAAAGAAGCCATAATAATTGTGACATCATGAGTCAATGGTGTACTGTACTTCATGTATTGACATCTGTAGAAGTGACTGCTGAAGCTTGAAAAATAATTCAAAGATTTATATTTGGTTCCCATTTTTGGGTTTGTTGATCTGTAAACTGAAGACAAACACTTCTGTTGCCATGAAACAATCCATACTTACTCACTTGTTCCACTACCAGGTGAAGCAGTATTTCTCTGCATGGAAGACTGCCTACCAGCTGTGTTTGGAACGAGAGGAGGTGTTAGAGCGTCACCTGGTGGCCAGAGCAAAGCAGAAGCAGAGAGAGGCGTTTGAGACATGGCGGATGCAGAGACTGGCTGACCAGGCCGGCCGGATGTACAACATGAAGCTGAAGGTGGCTGTGGTGCAGGAATGGAGAGCCTGGACTAAGGGTGAGCTCCAGTACCTGATTCCTCACATGGTCAAATCCCCTGTCCATTGGAATAACACACACTATCCATGTGCTCATTTCTGTTTGTCTCGTCACTTGACTAACACTCCCACACGCATACACACACAGGTGTCTGTCCTTAACTTTCTCTCTTCATTGGAATAACATACATGATGTGTACCTATCCTTGATATTGTACCATTTGAAATCTGTTCATGATATTAATCACTGGATTGTTCGGCCCATAATGTTTACAGGCCACTGTCATATAGGCGTTACACAACATGCATTGCCAACACACATTGTTATCATGGAACACTAAGTATACATACCAATCCTTGATTGTCTCCCCTTATCAAATATTAAGTTTCATGTACTGTGTGCTTGTGTGTAGGTGTGTGATGGAATCCACGACTCTGTATGTAAGTGATAAGTAGATTTGTAAATTTATCTCCCTTACATACTGTTGTAATCACAAAACTATATATCTGTGTTGATGTGTAGGTGCACGAGAACGGCGGATCCGTGGTCTGGCACTACAGAAGGCATTGCAGGAGCGAGTGCTGACAGTGTACTATAAGTACTGGGTGGAGCTCACCCGTGTCCGGCAGATGGTGCAGAGTCACAGCCATCTCAAACTACAGCTCAGGTGAGAGTGTGCCCTGGTGCGTCTCTGTGTGTCTGTGTGTGACCTGACTGTACAATCTCTGGGCAGGGCTAAGCTATTTCTGATAACTATCCCAAACTATAGTTAATGTAATGTGCATGTGTGTTAGTGAAAGCATGTGAATATCTGTCTGTCTGTCTGTCTGTCTGTCTGTCTGTGCTGAATATGTACTACAGTCTAGGGATAGCTCCACCTTCCATATGTGTGACTGTCTTTGTGGATTAGAAGGTCATGTAGTTAGTGGATGTGATATGGGTAACTAGGGCTGCGCAATATAACCGGTTTACCAGTATTTACCGGTTCAGACATGAAAACGATACGTATTGCAATACGCTGATCGAAAACCGGTATTTTGACTTGCATTCGGAAAACTTCGTAGCACACGGACATTTTTGGATATTTCCTTGTTTCATTTGTGCCAAATATTATTCACATTTTTACTTTATCATGATTAAAAGTTGTTATTAAAGCTTAATCAACCATAGTGATTTTGTTGTGTTTTTGCTCTATAAATCAAGCATTAACTTGATTATAAGTAGTTTTTTTATTTAAAAATACTTCATGCAATATATTGCAATACATATCGCAATACATGCTTTCGCATTGCAATATATGGCAATAGGAAAGTTCTCTGCAATACCCACCCCTATGGGTAATCTGACAAATATGTTCACTCCCTTAGATCATGTTGGGACATTGGTCGTCCTGGGTAAGAGTTATGTCCCTTGGCAATGAAGCTTATACTGGTCTTTGGTTTGAATCCCAGAATGACACTAATCATCTCTTCATCTCTTGTTGTATATTTACCTTTACTCATTCTTCATGAGATTGTTGTGATAATTAATTATCTGATAAGTGACGCTGCTCTCATTGACAACTTCAAGCATTTCAACTCAGACACTAATGCTTCTCACACAATGATTCCATTCAGTCTTATTCTCTGTCTTATTTTCAAGAATTGTCCAGGCCTGGCACTTATACACCCAGCGACAGCGCACCCTTGTCCATCTGCACAGCTTCCTCACCAACAAAGTGAACCATCGCCTCACCCAGTCAGCCTTCCTCACTATGAGATGTCGCATGGACTACTGCCAGGGGCTGACTGATATGGCGGCCAGCCTCCGGGATGGTCGGGACCAGAGACTGATGCGTGACGCTCTCCGGACCTGGCAGACCAGGCTGGACAACAAGATGGCCGCCCGGTGCTACGGCAAGTTCCTTGTTGTCCGCACAGTGCGGAAGTGGCGGAGGTTCGTACGACAGCGGAAAGAGGAGCGGAGGATCGAGAGGGAGAAGATGGAGATGGCAGCCAAGCACTACAACAAGAAGCTGTGGTGAGGGAATCATTAACCTGCTTCCATCATGTCCAGGGACAGCGACTGTAAATCAGGAAATATTGCAAATTGATGTGTTCCCAACCCTCAGATGTGTCATGAAATTAAAGCTTCCCTACCTTTTGATGTTAAAACTGCCCTCGAGCAAACTACAGACCTAGGCTTCCATGATATAGTATTGCTGATCTCTCTAAACACAACAAAATTATGCTGGATTCAAGCTTTGGATTAGTGGCTTAAGTCACAGACTGTAGAGATTTCAAGTGCTTTCTATCGTGGAAGTGTTATTTATTTTCCAAGATTGCTGTAACTGTACAGTTAATGTTCACTAAGAAGGTGGGCAGTGTTGTGCTAAGCTTGTAAATATTGTGCCAAGCGCAAGATTGGCAATTGTCATGATTGGTGCTTGAGCTAAATATAATGCTTCCATGGATGGCACTATGTGCCTTGTTGTCATTGCAGTCGAATGGCTCTGAGAGGGCTGCACAACGAGCTGCATGTGAAGCACCAGCAACAACGTCGACAGAACAGATTGGTTGACAAGTACGCCAGACAGTGGAAAAGACAGACAGACCTTGCATACACTGCCAGATGTGTGGTGAGTTGTTGCCGTAGTTATATTTATAGACAGACCTCATGCACACAGCCAGATTTGAGGTCAGTCATGCCACACTTATACAGAACAATACATGCTATATTTATGTAAATATGCAGATTCATGGAATCAATGTCTCGAAGACTGTATGGTGATGTGCACATAAGACATCATGGGTTTTAGGCTCACTTCACTGTATGTTTGTGTGTTTTAGGAGGAGGAGCGTTTATACAGTCGGATGTGGAATGTGTGGCGTGTAGCTTTCAGTCGCAGGAGAGCCGCTGACCACATTGGAACTTTTGATAGGCGCCACCTCATATCTCGGGTAAAATAACCTTCCATGTAATAATGTTTGTAAGGCTTTGAATGAAATCAAATCAAGTGAATGTACATTTAGGTTAAGACAATAAGGCACAAGTGACTTCAAACAAGGCTCAAAATCGTCCTTATGCTGCTTTTATATATGCACATCCAGCCCTTAAAAACACTCCTCAAACGATCAAGTCTGTCAACCAAGGCCACAACAGCATTTTTATGACAGGGTTCCTCTGTGTATGACTAAAGATTGCCAAATCATTGGACTAACTGCATATTTCAGTGAGTCATATCTGTGTGTAATACTTTTGTATCAAAAGGATCATTGAAGTATTAGTGTATAATGAGTTTCAGTGATTATGTGTTCAGGATGTGATAGTACATGTAATATTGTCACAGAAATTCTCCAGTAAACACATGAATGACTGACCCACAGGTTTTCTCGGCATGGAGGTGCCTGACAGTAAAGAAGCCATCTACACAAAGGTTATCATCAATCCCAGTGGCAACATCCATGCTGCTGCACTCAGCGCCAAATGACAGTGGTCACATGGCTCGGTCTTCTCTGATCCCTAGTCTACAGTCCCGTCAGATCTACACAAACAGGAAGTGAGGAGGCCACAGACCTCAAGGTCATCCCGATACCAGCCACACCAGGTTGTCCGATAGAAGAGATATCTTCTGATTAAATGATATCACCATCACTCTGTGTGAAAAGACATGGCATCACCTCATGGATAATTGGCTGAAGCATAGAAGCAGGTGGTTTTGGTGTCAGAGGATCAGTAGTTCTGACATCTGGTCATATTGCTATGACCATTGCAGATGTATATACCCTGCTGAAAACCTTTCAGTCACACTGGCTGTGTTACACCACTGATAGAGCTGGTATTGTCCTTCACGTTAAGGGTATTACCTCCCTTGGCTAAATTACCCCCCTTGGCACTGGCGAGCAATCCTCACAGTTCATTTCACATAGACACCGTTTTTGAAGTGGGCAGAACAGAGACGATCATTCTTCAGATTGGCCATAAAGTTTGGGCTCACGCTTTTTATTCTTTGCAGCGATGCAGCGTGGACCGATTTATCTGCTGGAAATCTATGAAGGCTAATCACCTTGCCATTCTCTATTTCCCCACCATAGTTGGAACACACACAGCAGTAATGTCTGTTTCAAGTTTTCACTTTTGACTGGTGATTATTAGAAGTGGCCTTATTGCTCGCCGGGAAATAAAGTCACACTGTTTTCACAACAAAAGAGTACACAAGGGAGGTAATAATTCAGGGGAGGTAAGACCCTTATCAAAAAGGACTATAGCATGATATCAGTAATACATTGCTCCAAATAGTCTGCTTGTGGAGTGGTTGGATATTTATAGGGGAGTTAACTATAGATCATAATGGTGCCTATGTAAACTGTAAATCATTGAAGCATTTCTGTGATAAGGGTGCTATGATATTTCAGATGTTTTTTAACATCGTGTACTGTGTTTACATCTTGTAGTAGAATTTGTTATGTGTTATCTATTGTTTGTCTATTTATTTCGTATTAGTAATATTATTATGATTGAAGGGTAAGATGATTTGTCTCAAAATGTGACACATGTATATTGTTAATACATGTACAGTCGGGCACTGTTGTCTCGATATTCAGGGGACCAAGACAAAATATCGAGTTATCCGAACTTCGAGACATCCGACCAGGGCATATCGTCACATATCACTATGAAAGAAAACAAAACGTTTCTCAGTATGTTTTGATTCAAAACTATAATCTGTTATCAGTCGTGTTTAGTCGTAACAGTGAGTACTTCCTAATTAATTCCTTCTTCATTAATCCTAATTACATAACAAACAGGTGACACCTTCAACTCAATTAACCCTAATTAGTTTACACTACCACATCCCTTTGATTCATGCCGCACCATGTGTAAACGTGTGGAAACAACCTCAGTTCAGACGGATACTTGCCCATGAATATCAAGTTTCTTTGCAAATATTAAGTTAAAAGGGTAATTTTGCTTGTTGGGACCATGAAATTATATCGAGATATCCGAAATATTGAGACATCCGTATCGAGTTAAAAGAGCTTGAATGATGATAAATTATGAAGGATTTTGCCAGGACCAAGATGCTATATCGAGACAACCAAGATATCGAGTTATCAGAGTTCGGCACGACGGTGCTCGACTGTATATTGTTTATGAAAATGGAAATTAGTCACATGGAGTTATCTGTATTTGTCACTGCAATGTACATTGTAATGTATTCAAAAGTCTGTTATTAGAATTAGATATATGAGTTGCTTGTATCACACAGATCCTGAAGACATGTCTATATTTGTATAGGTTCTAGTGGGCTTTTTGTTCACTGTAAATCTGTAGGAGGTTTGACTCTGCAAGATAGAGAGACAGATTTTTCCAAGATATTATACTTAGCAGTCATCGGGCAGGCAACCTAGAAAACATTTTCTATTTTGTTCAAAATTTCTCTTTCTTCAGGTCCTTTGCTTAAATTCAGAGGTATTTTAACTTATACTGAGATTGTATTCATTGCAGTCACATGAAACTAAGTATTGAAACTGATGTAAGTTGTACCGGGTATTGAAAGTTTGCTGATGACTTGTAGCCAAATATTGGGCTCTGAGCAGATCTCGTTAAATCCCAAGGAGTTGACTTGGTTATTTTAAAATCAAAACTGCAAGTGCCATTCAGAATTCCATATGTGATATGTTTGTTTGTGTAAATATTTAGTTTATAGCACAGCATGACAGTTGAAATTTTGTTAAAGTTGTTGGTAAGTTGTACAATTACACAAACAAGTGGCTGGAAGTGATCAGGTTGATGTAGATTTCACAGTTTCTTCATTTGAGCACTTATGAGAATCAATATAGGGTGCTACTATATGTTTACTTGAATGTGTATGAAATGTAAAGTCATGCAACCAAGTTCTTACATAAGGCAAAATTCCTCTCTGTGTTTGGTGAGATTGTGCTGATGTCACCAGGAAGTGTTTAAGTGCGATGACAGTGTTTTGTTGTCTGACCAGTCTCTACCACAATATAGCACCCAATATTAGTCATTTTGTCATCTGTCTCAACCAGGAAGTCACATGGTGATCTGCACTGCAGTGGGTGTGCACTGAATTATAATTTCAATAAGGAAGAATTTTGAAAAACACTTCAAGTAAAAAATGAATCTAAGTATGAGATTGTGTTAGTGCTCAGTATATAAACTGACAGCAACAATAGTGTTAGTGTGCTTTTAGGGATTGAAACATAGTAACATCTGTGACCACTTTCTGTCCCCGCTGGCAACGTTCAACAACGTGAGTTACAGAGCTGAGAGCCCATTGTGGACTGGGGTTATTGCTGTAACTACCTCTTAACATTGGTCCAGCAACTTACAACACATGAACTTCCTAACTGTGCAGTATATCAAACACGAAGGAGCTCACTATAGATTTGTTGTGGCTATCTGCTTCTGCATACTTCCTATGTTTTAGCGTGGCGATGGGCTAGCCTAGAGGTTAAAACGTAGACTCGTCACGTCAAAGACCCGTGTTCGATTCCCCACATGGGTTCAATGTGTGAAGCCTATTTCTGGAGTCCCTCACTGTGACATTGCTGGAATATTGCCAAAAGCTATGTTTTAGCTTAATACACAGCCATTTATGTTTTGAGTATCTGAAATGTATTGTATTTCTATGTGCAACAGTGTCGTGCATTTGTATTGTGTATTTTCAACAACATCTACGATCCTCAAACATGATGTTACCTTTTTAATCATAATCAGTTTCTGTCCTGTTGGACTTTTCATCAGTAAAAAATAAATATTTTGCTGATAGTTCCTTCCAAGATATTCCAGCAAGATGTGTGCAGCAATACTGTGTTTCTGTTTCACTGTGTGCCCCAACACATTGTTGATCATCCTTCACTGTGATAGCGTCCTTTGTGCCAAACATGAGCTGTCTCTCACTTGTTTTATACATTCATCTGTGTTTAATAAATAGATACTCATCAAGTGTGTTTGTGTCGTCATATTTTGCCAGAAAAAGTCTTTTTGTTTCAACTGGAGATGTTTAAACATTCTCAACTCTCATTTGTGCTGCTCATTTTGATTTGAGATTCATTTGTAATCACATACATTGTAATTACTCTGATCATATTCACTGATTGCTGGCTGTAAATGGAATCCATATAATTACGATGAAAGAAGGGAGCTTTTGAGTTATATATTCTGATGAACTTTTTGGAAGCCATCAGGTGTGTTTATGGTTCAGTAGCAGTTTGTGTTACTTACTAGTGTGAAAAAAAGTCTCTCATAGACACCCTTCACTTCGTGAACAATTACACATTGGTATAGTGATAGATTACTATTGGCAGTACCGCTTGTTGCTATTCCTAAAATGCGTAAGGTAGATGAATGGCATTTCGCTTACAGGATATCTTCTTGAAACATGGAGAAAATAACTAAAATTTAAAAAGAATTTAATACAGGTCACCAACAATGAACACTTCAAAGAAACTGAAATGAACATGAATGTATCTCAAAAGAAGCTGGCTGTTCTCAAATGCAAACATGCCAGTGAATTTAGATCTAGTAGCTAATTCAGTCAAACATTAAAAACAGTAGGATTGAATATACTCATTCAGTAACAGAATTTGAGATTAAGTAACAGAATTTGAGATCACCTCTATTCCAACATTAGAGGACCTGTTCTTGCCATACACTATGATACAGAAGCTGATCCTACAAACAAAACGGAAGGTTTTGGAGAACATAACAATTCAACCTCTCATTATATGAGATATATCAAATATGCTCTAAAAGCAATATAATGTTATTGCTTTTATAAGCATTTGTATGAATGACAACATCTAATCATCTATGGAATTAATTATCTTCTCATTGCTTTAAGGGTACTTTCGACTGACATCAGATCCATTATATGAGTGTTGAATACAGGATTTTCTTTGTGGAATGTCTTAAGGTAAAGTTCGTTAAAGAACATATGAACAGAGCTCAGTTGATCCTCCGCTGCTGGAAGTAGAAAAAAGTGTCCTTGATTATATCATTCCTCTGTTTGCCTCGTAAAAGGTCTTCCTGGAGGTGGTAGAAGTTGGAAGGTTGTCGCCCTTCACTGAAATCAACAGCATTGATATTGATGTTTGGGAAGTTGTTCTGCATCCAGTTGAGGAACCTCGGGTGTTGGGAAATCAGTCTTCTTCAGGAGGGCTTCCATGAAGTACATATCCTTACTTTGGAATATGTTGACAGGGATAGTGTAGGACTTTGATATCTGTGTTATGTTTTCATTCTCTTGTATCAGATGATCAATGTACCAGGAGATCATATGACGAGGTTTAAGAGTGTGGACATTTGTGGAAATCTGATACTTCTCTGCAGCTTTGTTGCAAACACTTGGTGCCAGTTTTGCAGATTTGGCAACATGCTGATAAGGATTATTAACGTTGATCTCCTCTGAACTTGTTCTCAGCATTCTCTTGGCAGCTTTGGTTGTTTCTCTCATACATTCAGGATTAGATGGCATTCTTCTCTGGGAGATTGTGCCCTGGACACCTGGCTGGTTGATCCTGGGGGACATATCCAGTGGAGCAGATTGCTGAGTAGGACCATACATGTGTGTCAGTGGAACCTGGGCCCTCTGGGAATCTACTGGTATCATTCTTTCTCCTTCAGGAGTTGCATTCCAGTTCCTGTCTAGAAGCTGATCCTGATTATACATCAGTCTAGCTGGAGGCACAGTAGGCACATTGTTTGTCAACCATCGTATGTGTTCAGGTTCAAGATGTCTTGATCTGTCTTGTCCATAGAAAGAAGGTGGTTCTTGAACATTTTGGTAACCCGGTACAGGAACCTGGAAGAAGTTGCTCTGACTTTCACTTGGCATTGAGACTCTTCTTCCTCCAACATCAGGAGTAGAGCTAGCCAATGGACATCCAAAGGATGTGTCTGTACCTGGCTGGCTCCAGCCTGAATGAGCTGTTTTACCAAGAGAACCTGATATTTGAAGCCGAGCCTGATCAAGGGTGTGGTGTTGCAATGCTGACATTTGCTGAGACATAGTCTGCCCAAGAGAATCAATGCCTGGAGCTGAATCATAGACACAGTTGTCTACAGGAGCAAACAAGATCTCCGTGACAGATTGCTGGGAACACCTGTTCTGCAGCTGGTGAAACATGTCATGACCTTGAGCATTGCGATAAGGAATCGGCTGACTAAGAGACTTCATTTCAGGGACTGTCCTTGGATTCCTTGTGTTCAGAGCATGATTTGCATTGTTATCAAAAGCCATGTGAGTAGACTCAAAGGAGAGTGATGTGATAAATTCATTGGCATCTGATGTTGACCTTACTCCAGGTTGTGAAGGTTTTAAAGTGGTGATTGAATGGTCTGGGCCACCAGTTTGGAGGGAGTTGTCCTGGGTTACAGACCTTTCTTTGTAGATTGAATTGAAGTTCTCAGGGTTGGAAGCCTCAAATGAAGATCCTGAGGTTGAAGGATCCAAACTTTTATTGCTATTCTGGAGACTGATTTCATCAATACTTTCTTCAGTTCCATCAGTAGAATATGTTTTGCCATTTTGTGCAGCATTACCATTTGTACTCACACTGCTCTCTGACATTCCCGGATACTTTGTTGCACAAGGATTCATCATGATAACTCCTGTGTGGCTGCCTTCAACTGACAGATTGTTATTGTTACAGTTCAGGGGTCCTTCTTTGGTTTGTTCATTTTCACAACTGGTGCTGACATGTTGATGTCCCTTTTGTGATGATTCTATGTTGTTCATGGAAGCACTTTTGCTGTTGCAATCCTCAATTTCTATCTTGATTTTGACATTGCCAATGTCTTCACCTGGCTGTTGACACTTGTCTCTTATAGCTGCACCCTCTGCCCCAGATGTGTTGCACAGTAACAGAAGGTTGCCACAGTTTTCCATTTCAAGTTGAGAACTCTGAAACATATATACAAGCTGTCATTACATCTACATATTTATAAATATGCTCAGGGAAATCTAATCGAAATATTTGGACTTGATTGTATCAATTCTCATTCCTCTGTCAACAAGAATGAACACTGTTGGGGTTTGTGGTTAAAACTAGTCTCCAGAAACTTCTACTTCATGTTAAACCCTTCACTCAGCAATATTCCAGTAAGTGACATATAGGTGACTGGTGGGCAGTAACATGGACTGCTGAATGTGCATGCAGTCACATATATTTCTTACGTGTGACTTCACGGTTATAAATTTAAAAAAGAAACTTTTTTAAAGCGTAACAGTCTATTAAACTAGGGGTAATCTAATTTAAATGTGAATTATGGTACAACTCCATATATTGTACCAGGGAGACTCTATAAGGGGGTGTTGTAGAGTATCCCTGATTGTACCATGTGTGTATTTCACTGGTAAACTGATCCGGAATGACCCTTCAGTTTAACGCAACCTTTTTCAAACGACCTCATAAATGTTTGAACTAAACAAATCTGTCTGAAATGGTGCAACACTCCTTAGATTTGGACATGCTAAAATTGTAAAAAGGACCGTATTCTGTTGACAACATCAGTCCCCCACTTTCCGCCCACGAATATAATGATGTTACAGCCAATGTTATGCAAATCTATATTTGATTGTTAAAATTTACGGGAAGTATTTTTGGGAAGAAACAAAATATATCTCTTGAAATGCTTTCTTTGCATAGCAAAGATTTACATGACGCTGTGTTATGCTACAGTAGTTGGCCATAAGTTAGTCATTAGTGAAATTCCCACAGACTTGCATGTTGATTAACTCTTGCAAGAATAATTTTCATAAATTTAGTTTCCGTCGAATTTCTTTCAATACTTATCTACCAGATAGGAAATCGTCTTAGCTACATACACATAATTTCCATTCAATTTTCCGATGATTATTAAGAAAACTGCAACTATTATTAACCAACATATATTAGACATACCAGTCAGGTTTAACATGGCTGTCTATGGGATAGATTAAAATTAAGTTGTACTTATGGTGCTTAATCAGGTGTCATTCGGTAACTAACCAACGGAAAGATGAAAGAAAATTGTGTACAGGTAGCTGAAGATGATTTCCAAGATGTTTGCAAAATATCAAAATAAAATGACTTCTACTCAATTTATGAAAATCATTCTTGCAGCAGTTAATTAACATGTAAGTCTATGGAAGTTTCATCAATGATGACTCACTTATGGCCAACTACTGTAGTATTCGTTTGAAAATACGCGCTACCGTTGCTGTCTTGTTTCCCAATTTATTGATCCTTTCGTTATCATGTATGAAATGAAATATGGAGCGATCTCATAAACAAAATGCCAAAATGAAGTCTCTTCCAAAATCTATTTGTTTGTTAATTGATTCAGATCATGAGGAATTATCACATGAATTCTCGTACCGTCATAGACGTTTCAACGCTGGTTTTGCCGTCTGCTATGATGAATTATGGGAAATATTTCGCCGGATGCAGACCGCTAAATAATTATTTTGATATTGCCGATTTTAGATATGCGACCGTTTGAAGTAATTAGCATGCAAGTACAGTTCTGGCACTAAACGAATATTTTAATGCCGCTTTAAAATTTACAACCATACATAGTTTTTGGTCCATAGTATCATGCTAACTTGTTACATACTCGTTCGTATCGCAAGTTACCCTGTTCATGTCTTCTGCATCTTTATCTGCCGTTAAAAAAAATATGACAGAGATATCATTTAGAAATCCTTTGTAAAGAGAGAAAATTACACGTTTTCACAAATAAGAATGAAACGACTGGTATTGGAAAATGTGCGTTTCTTCAAGTGCCATACGCTGGTTCTAATCACAATTTTTAACGGACACTATAATATTAAAGGTAACGTTGCTTCCGTGATGCCTAACGATAACCACAACTCACAACAGGATTTGTCAGTCACTCTTCTCAAATATTAATGCTTCAAATTAACCTTTTACAATTTTTACCCTCAAATAAAACTGTTCCTGCAATAGTCGCGTTGCTCACGTGAAAACATCCTCAAGGTTGTTGTTGTTGTTTAACGCCACTCTCAGCAATTTGAAGGTTGCTTATAAAATTAAAAACCAAAACCCCCGAAAAAATCAACCCCAATAAAAAACACCAACATATGTATGTTTTGAATCCTATTTTGAGAGTTGTTAAATTGCTCCATATGAATGCGTGGTTCATGTAACAATATATTTTTTCTCATAATTTACATAGATTGTTACATACAGTTTTTTGTATATGGTAAGTACGAAAACAAAACAACATTCCACTTTTTGAAATGGTAACATATTTTACAAACACAATAAAACAACCTCAAATATAAATTTGGCAACAGTTTACTTGCACTATGATAGGAATAAGCAAAAAAACCAAGTTCAACAACGCCAGAAAGCATGGATACCATGACTACACCACCCATTCTCCCTAAAGTTTGGTAACTGTATGACGCCACCATATCAGTACCTGTTGTAAACAGCAGTCGCTCCTCATACTGGCAGACAAGTGTCGTATTCTCATTCCTCATGGACTGCCTGCACCAATTCCTGCAGATTTTGAACAGGTGGTCCTCGGCTCGAACTTGGCCTCCACGAAAGTCCCAGAGATGTTGGATGGGCCCCATCGGGACCCATCGGGACCCCTTCTGTAAATGGGCAATGAGGGCTCTAGAACGGCGAGGTCTTGCATTGCCATCTGTGATTACCGGACTACTTGTAAGGGGATGGTTGTCAAAATGTGGCACGACTGCGGTATCCAGAATTTCCTCTTGTAATGTAGATCGTTCAGTATCCCAGGTACTGTAATTAGTAGTTGTCTTACTAAACCCCAGACCATTACTAAGTCACTACCAAAGGGTTTAGCTTACATGGATTATCAAACCCCAGGCCATCACTGAGTCACTACCAAAGGGTTTGGCTACATGGATCAGTGAGTGAGTATGGTTTTACGCCGCTTTTAGCAATATTAGAACAATATCGGAGGGGGACACCAGAAATACATTGTACCCATGATATGGGGAATCGAACCCGGGGCTTGATGCTGGTGGAGAGTGGGACTCGCTCTCTCCAATGCCGGTGCAGTTTTTCGGCGTGAGTCATTGAATTGCGTCTTACATGCCTATAATCACAGTCTTTGGTCTTCATCGGTCTTTCAGTAACATCCATGTGGTTAATGGTTCGACCACAACATTGATTATAGATAAGCAAATGCTACGGTCAAAGGCGAGCATCACGTGCAATACGTGTACTCCTCATTGATTTCGTTGTTGATAAGCAATATTGGGCCACCTCAGCTGACAATAGCTCAGGGTATTGGTATATGCGGAATGCTGGTAAGTGAATTAGGGCTATTGCCAGAGATGTTAGTTTTTTGTCCATCGACTATCAGCCAACTGGCCAGACAACATCAGCAAACTTTTGACGTGAGGACTGCAGGAGTTTAGGTCATCCACGAGTGACCTATTGCTCGGGTTTTTGTTAAGTTTGGTGCTACGACTTTTTCTGTAAATATTAGTGAGTGAGTTCAGTTTTACGCCGCACTCAGCAATATTCCAGCTATACGGCGGCGGTCTATCAATAATCGAGACTGGACTAGACAATCCAGTGATTAACAGAATGAGCATCGATCTGCGCAGTTGTGAACCGATGACATGTGTCAACCAAGTCAGCAAGCCTGACCACCCGATCCTCGCCTCTTACGACAAGCATGGGTTACTAAAGATCAATATTCTAACCCGGATCTTCACGAGTTCTGTAAATAATAATGTAATGAAGGAATGTGTATTTTAAGAAACTACTTTGGACCTTGTAATTAATGTGTAATATGCAGCATGTCGGGTTTCTGCTCACCGTTCAACGCGGCCTTGACCAAGTCACTCACTCACTCACTAGGGCCGGTGGGGTAGCTTTGTGGTTAAAGCGTTCGCTCGTCACGCCGATGACCCGGCTTCGATTCCCCACATGGGTACAAGGTGTGAAGGCCATTTCTGGTGTCCCCCGCCGTGATATTGCTGGAATATTGCTGAAAGCAGCGTAAAACCCAATTCAATCACTGTTGCTAAAACCTCTCATAGACGAGGTTTCTGGTGGCTCAGCCAGGTTCAGTTATATACCACTGACACGTTTTCACAGTTAATTTATTGAAGACAATGGTGAAAATAACATTGAAAGCATATTGTTAATTCACAATCTTTAAACAGAATCAAACAATGTTAACAATATGTACAAAAGTTGCGCATATTTAGTTACATTGCATTCAATTAGAGTAATATACTTTGTCATGTCGGGTTGACCTGGACAAGCATGATGTCACACTGACATTTCATGCCCATCTTTTTGCTGATCACTTCTTTGATTAGAGAATTTGCAGGGAAACGAGTGGCGCCACGGAAATAGACATCCCCGTACGATGTTTACTCCTCATCTTCACTACGTCCGTGGCATCACTCGGTTGAGATTAGGTATTTTTAAAGAGCAGGCTAAATTAACGGGGAAAACAATGCAAAACCAATATAAAGAACAACTAAATTTGACTTCGCTGTGTCCAGTAGAACTGACTGAGATTCATATTTAATTAATATTGAGCAAACTTGGAAAAGCCTTTACAAATCTATCTGATATCAGTGTGAAACCAATTATTGGCACTCAATGCTCCATTATCACACACTTGAGACTCAAGTCTAAACAACTAAAACATCAAAAGAAAATAATCCTGAACAGTAGAGAGGAAATGACTCATTCTCGGTTATCCAGAGGATCCAGTGGATAAACAAGGCTAATGGCCTGGAACAGCCCTTAGTCGTTTCAACAGTCAATAAGTAGTGCTGTCTCCTCATCCGACGACATCCCGGTTGTGCTGCTGCTGTGGAAACTTACGGGCACGGGGGTGGTCTCTGGGGGCTGGTCGGCCTCCCCTTGTTCACCAACCCCACAATACTTGGCAAGACTTTTCTTGAACTCCCTGGAAGGCGCATCTGCTGGGGAGGTGCTGCCGCCAGAAAGCCCCATAGAGCTCATAAGCTGGTAGCTGTAGGGGTTGGTTGCTGACGGGGGTGGTGGAAGGAAGGGCGGGGTCTGCTGGAAGGGGGACTCGACAGCGTGATAGTTCTTGTAGGCAGCTGCTGCCGACGGGGTGGGTCTGGTGAAGGGGGGTAGGGTGCTGTACATTGGGGTGTAGGGGGATGCCTGGGGGTAGTAACTACTGGGATAGAACTCGCTGGGGAAGAATGGCTCGGTTTTAAACGTTCTTTGCGATCCCTGGCGAAGTCCCATTGCTGTGGAAGTCGTTGTCGATGATGTCGGACCTGCATAGGAGATAATGGAATCCGATATGTTCGTAAATACACTTTGACTTGCATTGTTGGTCAACACTGGAATTTACGCCCACTCATGAAAATGGTCTGCATTGTCACTAATTTGCCAGTTACCCTATAAAATAGTTCCCTCCTCTGTGTCATTATAGGGTGCTGTTCTGAGTTACCTCCTTTCTCGTGTCATGATCCTGATTCGATCCCAGAAAGATCAGACAGCACTAAGGGACCGTTCATATTTATGGGGGTGGGGTGGGGGTGGGGTTTGATGATGATTCGCCGTGATGGGGTTCACCAGTTTTGTTCTGGGGAGGTAGGGGTCATCAATTTTGTACACATGTTCCTTGGTAGGGGGTCATCAATTTTGTACATAACAGTATTTAAAAATTATGCTTTACAATATTGGAAGGGCGAGGGGTCATTGATTTTGTACATGACATGCAGGGGGGTCTCTTACTTTGTACATAAATTTTAGGGGGGTCATTCATATTGTACATGCTTCTCCATAAAAATCATCATCAACTCCACCCCCACTCCACCCCACCCCCCGCCATAAATTATGAACGGTCCCTAAACATACATTCGCTGGCTTGTTGGTATACTCTCAATGATAGCTGACACTTCCTGATAAAACTGAAACACTGTTCAAGCTAAGTTAAAACAAACTCTCATTCCGTATCACGCCTAGGGGTTCATGCCCACCCATTCAATTTTGTCACCTTCAACATGCACTTGTCAGTTGGTCCGCTCGAGTTTTTTGATGACATTTTGAAAATGTTTCTACTACAAACACTTGAAAGATACACTTGCTTACCTGGGTTTATTGGCCAATCCATTCCATCTCGGCTTGTCTCTTCTGAAAAATTAACACCTGAATGAAGTATTTTAAGAGTTATTATACGTAGATATTGCTGGTTGCCATACAATCAACGAAAGATAATACTGATAAATCACCCGCTTTAATGACGATTATCCCTGATATTTGAACAGGTATTTTGGGTATGTGATGTTCAAAATATTAGACTCGACAAGGGCAGTTGGCAGTGCATATGCACTGAACTCAAAGGCTGTACACAATTTCAAATTTGTGTAAGTCACGTATATAGGTACTTGTAAACATCGAATAGTATAGCTACGCATAATCGTGTTAGATTATAAGTGAACATCATCTTTCATCTATGAAACCCCGGGCCGGAAGGGTGGCCTAGTGGTTCAAGTGTTCGCTCTCTCCACCAGAAGGCCAGGTTTCGATGACTAACAAAACCCTTTTCTAGCGTACACTACCGCCATGGGGTACTTTTAAATTTAATGGGCTCAAGAAAGAGGACACTCGCCGCTTTGCATCTATTTCAAACTGATAAACCCGAAACAATAGGAAGTAAAGCATCCTAGGCTTTCTGATGTAAGGAGTACGACGTGAATAGTCCAGTTGTAGTTATCTCCCTTGACTGAGCCGTACACTTGAACATGTTTCTCACCTTTCTGAAGACGTATAATGGTCTGGCGTAGGTTGCCTGTTTCCACGAGGACGGCGTTGAGTCGACCGACGCTGATTTGGGGGAACTGTTGTCTCAGTGACTGGAGGTTTGTCCCGGCCAGCGAGCTGATGCCTCGGCCTGTAAGGCAGATACCGTATTTCCTGGATAACACCTTTTTCGATTAAACGTCGTTCAGTAATTATGCACGGTATTTTCCCGATTATTTTCTATTCGGTAGAGAATGAAAGACATACACGCCCTGGCGTTTACTGGTGAATACTAGCTTGGATACCACACTGTCCGTGGTATTTCAGGTTTGGAAGTTGTTCTCAGCGAGATCGGGTTCCTGTCTTCTGGCAAGGTTTTCCTTTTGACTTGTTTAGAAAGGTGAAGAGGTCACAGTTGTCTCCCCTTATGTAGTAGGTCAAGGACAGAGCAATCCGTATATGATGATGACAGGTCAATTATGAATCTTAACTTTTTAGAAATAAGGCTGGGGCGGATATATGAGACATCTTGTCGCAACAACCCAACGTTCTGGGGTCAAGACAGGAATCTCCGGCTGTGAAATCCCTTAACTTAACACTCTCTTCTTAAACACCCAGGTGATCCAAGACGTCAGCACCTGCTCGAGTACACTATACCCGTGTGACCTGGGCCTGACAGCACCTCCTCAGGTAAACTACACCTGTGTCTATACCCTGTCGGACAGCACCTACCCGTCAGCACATCCTCAGGTACACTATACCTGTCAGACAGCACCTACCCGTCAGAACAGTCTCTGGTACACTATACCTGTCTATATCTTGACAGACAGCACGTACCCTGGAGCACATCCGCAGGTACACAATACATGTCTATACCTTAATTGACAGACAGACAGACAGCACCATACCCGACTATCCCGTGTCTGAGAGCACCTACCCGTCAGCACCTCCTCTGGTACACTACACCTGTGTCTATACCCTGCCAGATAGCACCTACCCGTCAGCACATCCTTAAGTACACTATACCCGACTATCCCGTGGCTGAGAGCACCTACCCGTCAGCACCTCCTCTGGTACACTACACCTGTGTCTATACCCTGTCAGATAGCACCTACCCGTCAGCACCTCCCTAAGTACACTATACCCGACTATCCCGTGTCTGAGAGCACCTACCCGTCAACACCTCCTCTGGTACACTACACCTGTGTCTATACCCTGCCAGATAGCACCTACCCGTCAGCACATCCCTAAGTACACTATACCCGACTATCCCGTGTCTGAGAGCACCTACCCGTCAGCACCTCCTCTGGTAAACTACACCAGTGTCTATACCCTGTCAGATAGCGCCTACCCGTCAGCACCTCCCCTAAGTACACTATACCCGACTATCCCGACTATCCACGTGGTCTGAGCACCTACCCGTCAACATCTCCTCTGGTACACTACACCTGTGTCTATACCCTGTCAGATAGCACCTACCCGTCAGCACATCCTTAAGTACACTATACCCGACTATCCCGTGTCTGAGAGCACCTACCCGTCAGCACCTCGTCTGGTATACTACACCTGTGTCTATACCCTGTCAGATAGCACCTACCCGTCAGCACATCCTTAAGTACACTATACCCGACTATCCCGTGTCTGAGAGCACCTACCCGTCAGCACCTCCTCGGGTACACTACACCTGTGTCTATACTCTGTCAGACAGCACCTACCCGTCAGCACATCCTTAAGTACACTATACCCGACTATCCCGTGTCTGAGAGCACCTACCCGTCAGCACCTCGTCTGGTATACTACACCTGTGTCTATACCCTGTCAGATAGCACCTACCCGTCAGCACATCCTTAAGTACACTATACCCGACTATCCCGTGTCTGAGAGCACCTACCCGTCAGCACCTCCTCTGGTACACTACACCTGTGTCTATACTCTGTCAGACAGCACCTACCCGTCAGCACATCCTTAAGTACACTATACCCGACTATCCCGTGTCTGAGAGCACCTACCCGTCAGCACCTCGTCTGGTAATACTACACCTGTGTCTATACCCTGTCAGATAGCACCTACCCGTCAGCACATCCTTAAGTACACTATACCCGACTATCCCGTGTCTGAGAGCACCTACCCGTCAGCACCTCCTCGGGTACAGGTATCGATCGTCCCGCCTCCTCATCCTGCACCTGGCGACGACGGAGGGCGATCTGTTCCCGGGACACCTTCTGTCTCTGCGCACTCAGACAGCAGCTACTACAGCTACAGTTAGCGAACAGACAGAAGCGCTTGTGGCCCTTCAGGGGGCTGATGATGGCATGGTTCCGACATCGCGCGCAGGAACGTAGCTGTGTGTTTTTCTTCTTTTCTTTGGTAGTCGTAAAATTCTCGGCCATTTTGTACCTGTAATGTTTTATAATCACCTTCTTTGAGTTATGCACGGCACTTGAAAAGTGACAGACAAATTCCGTATTTACGGACTTGAAACTTATTATTTTCTTAATAATGATGGTGATGATGATGATAATAATAAATAATAATGAAATACCTTAGAAAATTGTTTTTTAATATTTTTCTTCGTATTCATAATTCATGATCACCCGGAATAATCCTGCATTTACCGACTGCAACTGACTGACGAGATAATCATATTTTATTATTTGATGTTCACAATAGAATACGACCCGTGAAGGTCCGGGTTAAAATTGGCAACCCATGTTTGTAGTAAGAGGCGAGTAACGGGATCGGGTGGTCAGGCTCGCTGACCTGGTGGACACATGTCATCGTATCCCAGTTGCGTAGATCGATGTTCATGCTGTTGATCACTGGATTGTTTAGTCCAGACTCGATTATTTCCAGACCGCCACCATGTAGCTTTACAAAACATGTCCCAAAGAGTGTTTCACATATCAGTAATTAATTAAGTCTAGATAAGCGATTTTGGCCATGAACATGTATGATCTATGATGTGGTTTGGAACCTTATCGGTGCCACATGTGTGCACAAGACAATTAAAAAAAATCTTGAAAATATATTTGGGTCATTTTAAAAATTGGTAGGATTTTCATTTCCTTATTACAGTAAAATTAAACTCCTGAAAATTGATTTAATTTTTATTCAAATAAAATCTCAAACACTTAATTATTCAAAAATACAAACATGCAGGCTCAAATTTACTAATTGGCCTTTAAATTGATACATAAGTAATTAATAGGGTGGGGGAAAGTTCGACCGTTGCCACTTCTTAATCAAAACAAGGATTTTGAAACATAATTCATAAAAATCTTTGAAACATGGCAGACACAGCTTTTACACCGGCTTAATCAAACTTGAAGGTAAAAACTATTATCATGAATCTTGAAAGTGATATTTTGTATCTTTCATTTATTTACCACAAAATAGTAGCATTTATCTAAAACATTCTTATGTATTTAGAAATTGTAACTTGTAACAAATGTGACATGTTTTCTCCCTTGCTGTGGTAACGGTTTGGACATTTGTTATATCAATATGAAACTTGTGAATGAATTTAGGGTTTTGAATAAAAACAAATGTAGCTTCTAAGGAACAGAAAAAAATCACCTGTCTAGATTCAAAATCACTTATAATCTAAAGAAGAGTGCCATTGGGGAACAAAAATTGAATGAATAGTAACGGTTGTGACATTATTGGTAACGGTCAGGACATCAGTGTAACAAACAAATGTTATCCCTTTAAAAAGTTGCAAAAGATTAAATTCTGAAAGGTACTGCAACAACTATGATACTGTACACATGGTCATGCTACACAGGCCACTGAATAGATGTCATTTTGGTGTTGATATTATGGTGCAATATTAGTCTCCACGAAATATACTTCTTTCATTCACTCGGATACCTTTAGATTTTGTTAATAGTGAGATGGTAGCACATACTTATCAAATACAAAGGTGTGGCCAACATATAAGCACCTAGCAATATTCAAAGTAAATGGTAGTCTTACATATCTCACAGTTAAAGTCAAAACAGTCTACATTTAAAATAATCTTTAAAGGTTGGAATACAATAAAGTTATTTTCCGTTACAACTTTTTGTCCTAACTTTTACCTTTAATTCATAAAAGATAGATCTTATAGAAAATAGAAACTTAACGTGATAAATTCGTTGTGGTTTTTATTATTTAAAGCAGATAGATAAGTAAATAGATATTTATAATCACACCATAGAACATATTCTTCAAAATTGAATTTATTAAAGATATGTCCAGACCGTTACTATTATTTGTTCAAACCGTTACTAGAGATGTGTTTTTTAGGCTACTACATCAAATCTCCTTTGAACAGTATAATTCCATGCTTAAAGGTCACATACAACGTAAAACACAACTTTGCAGACTCTGATACCTTTCGGTATGGACTTATCAAAACAAATCATCAAAAATGCAAATTCAACTTAGAAAGTTGAAAAATAACGCGATGAAAAAAACCGCACGAAATCGGAGTTCAAACGATTCACTAATTTTCTCCCCGACTTTTCGGGGAAAAACTGGTTACAACAGCTGGGCTGCGCTCATAGCATGTGCGCAATGAAATAGGTTCGCGCAACTTGGAAGCGGGCTGTCGGGTGAATACTCGGTGAAAGCTTTGGTGTGAGCTATTTTCCTAATGTTTTGTTGATATCTCACAGGCGCGAGCTTTTTTTATGTTATGACAGTAAATTAACTGTTTATATAATTTCATTTGTCTATTTCACCACACGTTCTTCTTACCGAGTCACTTTCTCAGTTCGATACTTAAAAGCAATGTCATTATTTAGCGTTGACACAATTTCTAACTGTGATATAGATATGTCGGTGTCACAGACAAAACTCAAGGTCTTGTTTTATTGACACATGTGTGTCTGCCTGCCTGTCTGCTAATGACAATATTCAATTCACAACTGCGATCACTGACCACATGCAATTTGAACTTAACACCAATCAGGCTATACACCATAAACAAAACGCATTGATTTATGGCCCGAGTTCGGTCGCTGTCACATTATGTAATTACACAGACAGGCGGGTGTGATACTTGAACACATGACATGTTATGTCGTCTGTGGATTGCAAAATGTTATACACAAAAAATGAGCATGCATTTACAAAACCCAACATCTCTATATATACACACACAATGAACCGTGAAGGCATCTGCAAATGAACCAGCCGTTACACTTGAGTGCACACCCACCCGCTCTGACTGGGTTCGGTATCCCGGCTGCTTCGTTTCTTGGGAAGTAAACCGAAGTACACAATATTGCACTTTTGATTTGCGATTGTACGCTTATAATTTTGTTTATATGTTTTTTCATAACCAGCAATGTATATTATATGTCATGAATAAGTGATAATTGTGTTTTACTTATGTTTGATTTTTTGGTTGCATGTGACCTTTAAACTATCTTAACTCTTAAAGGAATTATAAATTTGTTATATTTCAAATATTAATGAACAACTTTTTGAAATACAAACCATTTTGTCCTGACCGTTACAAGGAATGTCCAAACAGAGAGAGAGAGAGAGAGAGAGAGAGAGAGAGAGAGAGAGAGAGAGAGAGAGAGAGAGAGAGAGAGAGAGAGAGAGAGAGAGAGAGAGAGAGAGAGAGAGAGAGAGAGAGAGAGAGCGGGTTGAATCTCTTTATTTCATCTGCTGTCACATATGCACAGCGGCTAGCTCAAGCAGACACAGGAAGTAGAATAACAATCCAGCTCCAGGGTGAAATTATTGCAGGAATTCCATACACTTCAGCTGGTAACGGTCAGGACACAAAATCACAGGACCAGTATGTTCAAATTTGTAAAAAAACCCTTTTTAAGCTAAAACATAAATGCAGTTTGAGTATGCCTGTTCAATCCTAATTGGCATAATATGAATTAATTAGTTTATTAGCATTTTATATTTACATTATTTGTGAACATTGATATTAGGACCGTCACCTTCGGACGGAGCAAATCTGCCAGTTTTGACCCTAAAAATGTGGCTAAATATAAATTAAAATGACAAGACTAATGATATACCACATTTACTGACTAATGAACATCTAAATATGTTTTCTAGCACAAAACAATCCTTTTAAGTTAACAGAGTTTTTTTTATTTGGAACGAACAGAAAATACTACCAATTTTGAAAATTACTCATTTCTACCTGTTTACATCAAATTTAGTGGTATTAAGTGTTTGTTTTTAACAGTGTCATTAATGAACAGGGGAAAAGATCCAGCTTCTACATGGCTAATTCCGTTTCCTTGATAACTTTACGTAAAGTGTTGTTGAACCAAATTGGTTTGAGATTGCACCCAACGTCCCCTTTACATTCTCTCCATACTGACTGAATGTCAGTTGAAAATTCAAATTAAAACACAACTTTTAAATTGACAAACTAAAATCTTGGGAAGAGCACTCAGATACAAGACTCACACAGCACGAAAATGCTATCGTTGTGAGGAGTTCCGTCAACTGATGACGTCATATTCTAGGTCACAGTGACGTCAGCTGTTGCTTTTGGCAAGAAGTGGGCGCTGGTTCCCGGCTACTTTTGAGCGCGCCAACTTGCTTAGAAGTGGGCGAGAAGCAATCCCATAGTTAAGAAATCGCATTTTGGGGTGGGGACGTGAATAACTTTATCATACGCAACATTTGTCAACTCACATACGTTTAAACTTAGCTATGACAAAAATGTACCTTGTCCATTCCGCTAATCTACTTTAGATCATGATCGACCGACTAAACGCCAGTGTCGACTTTTCGTTCAATAACTAAATATTAAATCTGTTAACTTAAATAGCTGCAATTCATTGTTAGTTTTAAAAGATGGTGATGAAATCTGAATGATTCCATGAACATCTACGAATACATAGGTCAACATTCAATCATTGTCACTGAAGTTTCTGAACATTTTCAAACTGGCCGTAGATAGACTGTAATGGCTGTCGCCTCCACATCTGCCCTAGATAAATATACAGATCCCGTACCTTCCTGCCTACTACGGACTGAGCTCTACATCGATGATCGTATTACTGGCCACACAAGCCTATTATTTATTTGTCTTCAGAAAGACAATTCGGAATGTAATTCACAATTTCGCAATTTTTACCAATCGACAGACAAGCCAATCGACACCCATCAAGATCCTACATAGATCTATATTCACATATGAAATTCCGACCAACATGCCTGAATTTATTCACATGTGCTTTTATTAGCAGATATTTTCAAGCTGACACTGAGAACATGTCGATTTCATAGGCACTGTTACATATCAAATGCTAATACGCGACACACAATAAATGAAATGAACTACAAAGTTGTCAATATCACTGCCTACCTCACTTGCGACCAAAACTCTAAAGGCGGGCACCTTGTAGTACAATGTTGATACCATTTCTTTAAAAGGGGGTCACGGTTATCAATCAAAACGAAATACTTTCATGCAACGGACAATATGCAGAATGTACGTGGTCCTATATATAAATGATAATATTTTAAATGAGCGAAGTAGTAGTTTTTCACACATTTTATACCAATTAAAAATGATTTGGCGAGTTAGACATGACGCACATGCCCATGAACTCTTCCCCCAGTGGACTCTTCCAAATAACTAAACTCGTCAAGAAAGAAATAGACAACACTGTGGTGGAGCCATTGTAATTTGTGCCAATGAGTATATAGATCAACAATATTCAGCCATACACACTTTCAAATATAACAGAATCATGTTTAAATAATACAATGTAATATGGAGGATAACTTAATCCACTAAACTTGTAATTTTACAATAAAAAATGTTATTTAATCATTTGTTTAACGCCGCTTTCGTCAATATTCCAGCTATACGAAGGCTGTCAGGTGGAAGTACCGGACAATCCAGCGATGGATCACGGGCTGCCAATGAAATGCTAGAACCCGACCTTTCGAACACTGGAGCATGTCAGCGGTTCAGGAGCTTTTTTCACATTCTGGAAAATATAATTATGAAAACAATATAGAAAAATGGAGCCGAAAATGAACGCAGAGTCGATTATTTACAGACTGCCTTCATGAATATGTAGGTGGAACATTGCTGAGTGCAGCAACAACAACTATTGCATTGGTGCTATGTATTTGTCAGATATCTCTGATGATGTGTCATTCACATAACTGTAAGAAGTTAAGTATCTATTTCAGTTAAGATATTTCAAAGTGACAACAGTCCCCCGCCGTGATATATAGTGCTGAAATAATGCTAAATGCGACGTAAAACTAAACTGACTCCCTCACTCATTCACTCACTACGTGGTCCGTGTGCTGGTAGATGGTGTCATGTCTGTGTCGGCATGGTGAAGTATAGAAATATATACAGTAGAACACGGATATAACGAACTCCAAGAGACCAAGAAATTTAGTTCGCTATATCCGTTGTTCGTTATTCACATTTGACCGCCATCTTGGATTGTAGAGATGGAGACATTCACAGACATTACCTATATCATGTTGATAAATATGAACTGTATTTTTATAATAAAATTGAAATAATACAACTACAACTTAAATAAATTTATTTTTTTAATGAAAATGCAAGCTTACATTTATAATGTCCAGATAAATCACGAAAGAAGCAAAAACTGTAGCGATTTTTTTCCATTTGTGACATGTCATAACATGCCCGTGCCTTTTTGTTTTATGTTTTATATATTTATATTGTATGTCAAAATTGGACATCGGTTGTTGAATGTGCATGGTTTGCAAATACGTTTCAGTTCATTAAAAGTAACAGCTACAGATATACTAAGCTGATTTATGTATCTGTATGAGAGCTGAATTGGGACAAGCGTTGAAACAGACATGGAACAACATTCCCCCAAGCTTCTTCAATCGCTTAGTGTCGTCTATGCGTCGTCGTTGCCAAGCCTGCATCAACGCCAATGGTGGACACGCACGATACTGAATTTGTGAACTGACTCTTGATACCTCATCTCTTCAAGGGCTTGTCACGATGCCAAGTGTCAAGTGTTACATATTTCGATGATATCCTGTTAAATGGTGATTAAGGAAAACACCTCAAATCATGTTCTTATCTGTTTGCATTAAGTATAACATCAAATAATGCACATATACTTTATTTCACTGGTATATATAATTATATATATGCGGGCATTTACACATTTTGTTTACAAAACCAAACACAAGGGCAATCAACTCTTTTCATATAAGTCATTCCTGAGAATTTTTCATGAGGTATTTTCATTTCCATGAAACATCCATGGTTCAACTGTGAGAAATGGGTGGTGGGGTATCCCAGTGGTAAAGTGTTCGCTATATGATGTTGAAGGCTCGGTCTGATTCCCAACAAGGGTACAATTTGAGAAGCCCATTTCTGGCCTCCCCCTGTTGTGATATTGCTGGAATATTGCTAAAGGAGGCATAAAACCCAACTCACTCACTCACTCAACTGTGATAATGGTCTGCATGTACCAACAATAGTTCAACTGTGACAATGGTTTGTATGTACCAACTATAGTTCAACTGTGACAATGGTCTGTATGTACCAACTATAGTTCAACTGTCGCAGTGGTAGAATAGTTTGTATGTACAAACAATGGATCAGCTGTCACAACTGTGAAACACCCCACCCACCCACCCCTCTCTCACACACACACACACACACACACGCACACACATACATCAACCTGAGTGATGAATCTGAGAGACTTTACACAGCAGGAATGAACTGTATAGGTATTTACTCATTCAATGACAGAATCCAGTTTCCAAACATACTGGAATGTTAACAAGATGGTGACCATGAGAATACCAAGGATGAATGTAAGTCCTGGGAATACATACTTCTTCCTCTTGTCTGGCTGGAGGTCAACAACCTCAGAGGTCACTTCCTGCACCTCACTACATGTTCCTTCAGAACTTTCTACCATCTTCCCGTCAGACTTTTCAGAAAATCTATAAAATGTATATGCATTTTGTCTGACCATGTCTGCAAGCTGTTGTGGAGTCCGCTGAACTCTACCTGATGCCAACTCCAAGATGGTGTGTACACTGAAAGGCTCGTTCCGCTTACAACAGTACTTCATTGTCAACTTTGAGTTGTCCTCCAACAAGTTTGAACAATCAACTTTGAACATTGCTCGACGGTAAGATATTGATGAACCAGGGTAGTTGCTGATGAAGTCTGGGAACTTTCCAGGAGCCTCGCTGGCCAGGAGTAGCCGCGTTGTCTCTATGTCATGTGATACACTGCTCAGCCAATCTCTTGGACATTCCGTATATGGGAGTTTCCAGGCATTACCTTGAAAGAGAAGATATTAGACCCTCTTAATGAAACATTCATACAAAACATCTTTCTGAAGAAAAAGCAGAATAATATTGTCCTTATGGACAGGACTGACTGACTGACTGAGTTTAGTTTACGCCGCTTTTAGCAATATTCCAGCCATATCACGGCGGCTTATGGACAGGATTCACAAAGTGGCCTCTGTATGCCAACACCTTAAAAAGGTAGAAGTGTGTTTGATAGCTTATGCTTAAAGGTCACATGCAATGTAAAACACAACTTTGGGGATTCTGATACATTTCGGTATGGACTTGCAAAGTTGAAAAATAATGTGATGAACACACGCACGCACGCACGCACACACACAGACACACACAATATATCGAAGTTCAAACGATTCAATAAAAACTCTTTTCAACAGCTGTGCTGCGCTGCACTGCGCTCATGGCGCATGCGCAGTGAATAGGTTCACAGCTTGCAGCGGGGATTCCCGGATTATAAGGTCGTGAGCAGGGGTAGTCTAATCTTGGTTGTGTACAAAAACAACAAGTTGTAAATAATTTACTTGTTACATAAAAGAACCTTGTTAAGGATCTAGATCTACTCAGCTATGTGTCAATGAGGATGAGAATAAGGTGTCTTATCTGTCAATGAGATGTGTTACCTGTCAATGAGATGTGTTACCAGTCAAAGAGATGTGTTACCTATCAAGGAGATGCGTTATATGTCAATGAGATGCGTTATATGTCAATGAGATGTGTTACCTGTCAATGAGATGTGTTACCTGTCAAAGAGATGTGTTACCTGTCGATGAGATGTGTTACCTGTCAATGAGATGTGTTACCTGTCAATTGAGATGTGTTACCTGTCACAGAGATGTGTTACCTGCCAAAGAGAAGTGTTACCTGTCAATGAGATGTGTTACCTGTCAATGAGATGTGTTACCTGTCAATTAGATGTGTTACCTGTCAAAGAGATGTGTTACCTGTTAATGAGATGTGTTAGCTGTCAATGAGATGTGTTACCTGTCAATGAGATCTGTAACCTGTCAATGAGATGTGTTACCTGTCACAGAGATGTGTTACCTGCCAAAAAGAAGTGTTACCTGTCAAAGGGATGTGTTACCTGTCAATGAGATGTGTAACCTGTCAAGGAGATGTGTTACCTGTCAATGAGATGTGTTACCTATCAAGGAGATGTGTTACCTGTCAGTGAGATGTGTTACCTGTCAATGAGATCTGTTACCTGTCAATTGAGATGTGTTACCTGTCTATGAGATGTGTTACCTGTCAAAGAGATGTTTTACCTGTTGATGAGATGTGTTACCTGTCAATGAGATGTGTTACCTGTCAAAGACATGTGTTACCTGTCAATGAGATGTGTAACCTGTCAAGCAGATGTGTTACCAGTCAAAGAGATGTGTTACCTATCAAGGAGATGCGTTATATGTCAATGAGATGCGTTATATGTCAATGAGATGTGTTACCTGTCAATGAGATGTGTTACCTGTCAAAGAGATGTGTTACCTGTCGATGAGATGTGTTACCTGTCAATGAGATGTGTTACCTGTCAATTGAGATGTGTTACCTGTCACAGAGATGTGTTACCTGCCAAAGAGAAGTGTTACCTGTCAATGAGATGTGTTACCTGTCAATGAGATGTGTTACCTGTCAATTAGATGTGTTACCTGTCAAAGAGATGTGTTACCTGTTAATGAGATGTGTTAGCTGTCAATGAGATGTGTTACCTGTCAATGAGATCTGTAACCTGTCAATGAGATGTGTTACCTGTCACAGAGATGTGTTACCTGCCAAAAAGAAGTGTTACCTGTCAAAGGGATGTGTTACCTGTCAATGAGATGTGTAACCTGTCAAGGAGATGTGTTACCTGTCAATGAGATGTGTTACCTATCAAGGAGATGTGTTACCTGTCAGTGAGATGTGCTACCTGTCAATGAGATCTGTTACCTGTCAATTGAGATGTGTTACCTGTCTATGAGATGTGTTACCTGTCAAAGAGATGTTTTACCTGTTGATGAGATGTGTTACCTGTCAATGAGATGTGTTACCTGTCAAAGACATGTGTTACCTGTCAAAGAGATGTGTTACCTGTCAATGAGATGTGTTACCTGTCTATGAGATGTGTTACCTGTCAAAGAGATGTGTTTCCTGTCGATGAGATGTGTTACCTGTCAATGACATGTGTTACCTGTCAAAGACATGTGTTACCTGTCAAAGAGATGTGTTACCTGTCAATGAGATGTGTTACCTGTCAAAGAGATGTGTTACCTGTCAATGAGATGTGTTACCTGTCAATGAGATGTGTTACCTGTCAATGAGATGTGTTACCTGTCAAAGAGATGTGTTACCTGTCAAAGAGATGTTACCTGTTAAGGATATGTGTTACCTGTCAATGAGATGTGGTACCTGCCAAAGAGATGTTACCTGTCAAAGAGATGTGTTACCTGTTAATGAGATCTGTTACCTGTCAATGAGATGTGTTACCTGTCAATGAGATGTGTTACCTGTCAAAGAGATGTTACCTGTGAAGGAGATGTGTTACCTATCAATGAGATGTGTTAGCTGTCAAAGAGATGTGTTACCTGTCAAAGAGATGTGTTACCTGTCAATGAGATGTGTTACCTGCCAAGGAGATATGTTACCTGTCAATTGAGATGTGTTACCTGTCAATGTGGTATGTTACCTGTCAATGAGATGTGTTACCTGTCAAAGAGATGTGTTACCTGTCAATGAGATGTGTTACCTGTCAATGAGATGTGTTACCTGCCAATGAGATGTGTTGCCTGTCAATGAGATGTGTTACCTGTCAAAGAGATATGTTACCTGTCAAGAGACATGTTACCTGTCAAGGATATGTGTTACCTGTCAATGAGATGTGTTACCTGTCAAAGAGATGTGTTACCTGTCAATGAGATGTGTTACCTGCCAATGAGATGTGTTACATGTCAAAGACATATGTTACCTGTCAAAGAGAAGTGTTACCTGTCAATGAGATGTGTTACCTGCCAATGAGATGTGTTACCTGTCAATGAGATGTGTTACCTGTCAATGAGATGTGTTACCTGCCAAAGAGATGTTACCTGTCAAAGAGATGTGTTACTTGTCAATGAGATCTGTTACCTGTCAATGAGATGTGTTACCTGTCAGTGAGATGTGTTACCTGTCAACGGGATGTGTTACCTGCCAATGAGATGTGTTACCTGTCAAAGAGATGTAACCTGTCAATGAGATGTGTTACCTATCAATGAGATGTGTTACCAGTCAATGAGATGTGTTACCTGTCAAAGAGATGTGTTACCTGCCAAAGATTTGTTACCTGTCAAGGAGATGTAGAATCCCATATCGCAGAATGCCTTCAAGTCTGTCGTTGTCTGCCTGTCTCCGCTAATACAAACTGGCGGTAGTTTGTCCTTGAACTCTGAGAGGATCCTCTGTGTTGTCTCCAGCTTACTCGTGTCACACAACACCAGGGGTATGTCCATGTCACATGCCAGTTTCACCTGTCAAAATGTCACACACTACCTCAGCTGTGACACATTACATCACCTGTCACACAACACTTCATCACCTGTCACACAACACTGCATCACCTGTCACACAACACTACATCACCTGTCACACAACACCTGTCACACACAACTACATCACTTGCCACACAACACTACACAACACTTCATGATCTGTCACACAACACTACATCACACAACACTTCACCACCTGTCACACAACACTACATCACCTGTCACACAACACTACATCACACAACACTTCAAGACCTGTCACAAAACACTTCATGACCTGTCACACAACACTACATCACACAACACTAGATCACCTGTCACACAACACTACATCACCTGTCACACAACACCTGTCACACACAACTACATCACTTGCCACACAACACTTCATGATCTGTCACACAACACTACATCACACAACACTTCACCACCTGTCACACAACACTACATCACCTGTCACACAACACTACATCACACAACACTTCATGACCTGTCACAAAACACTTCATCACCTGTCACAGAACACTACATCACACAACACTACATCAACTGTCACACAACACTTCACCACCTGTTACACAACACTTCATCACCTGTCACACAACACTACATCACCTGTCACACAACACTACATCAAATGTCACAGAACACTACATCACCTGTCACACAACACTGCATCATCTGTCACACAACACTACATCACCTGTCACACAACACTTCATCACCTGTCACAGAACACTACATCACCTGTCACAGAACACTACATCACCTGTGACACAACACCACAGCAACTGTCACACAACACTACATCACCTGTCACACAACACTACATCAACTGTCACACAACACTACATCATCTGTCACACAACACTACATCAACTGTCACACAACACTATATCACCTGTCACACAACACTACATCACCTGTCACAAAACACTACATCACACAACACTACACCAACTGTCACACAACACTACATCACCTGTCACACAACACTACATCACCTGTCACAACACTACATCACCTGTCACACAACACCTGTCACACACAACTACATCACTTGCCACACAACACTTCATGATGTCACACAACACTACATCACACAACACTTCACCATCTATCACAAAACACTACATCACCTGTCACACAACACTTCATCACACAACACTACATCACCTGTCACACAACACTACATCACACAACATTTCACCATCTGTCACACAACACTACATCACCTGTCACACAACACTACACTACATGTCACACAGCTCACACTATTCTCACCACATAACCTAACTGTCTTACCTGGGCTCTGAACATCTCCCTCCGAGAGTCTGTATAATTCCTCTCCAGCCCGATCTCACCCAGGGCCACACACTGAGGGTGAGATAGGAGGTCACGCAGTTGCTGTACAGTTGTCTCCCCTTTCCATGAACTTTCTTGAGTGGGGTGGATGCCTTGTAAGCATTTACAAACATATCATGAGAGTTATGATCACAGAATCAACCGTCCCTCCAAATCAACCACTTTTTCTCAAACTAAAACTGGCTGTAGATTTCTTTCAGTCTGATTTTCTAAGATGTATATATAGTTTTGTTTAAATTTCCCATGTATACACAAACATCAAAGTAACTGAAAAAAATAATTATGATAACTTTGATCAGTTTTCTAAAATGAATGAAACACACATTCATCTTCCTTCAACACAATAGAATATATCGAAAGTTCTACACAAAATCTGGCATGACTTTCAATTGAAGTTTTCAATTTGTTTACACTGACAGCTTCTTCTGTCTGGCAATTTGAGAGATGTTTATTCAGCCCAACATGCAGTTTGAGTATATTGTAGAGCATGGTCAAACGTTGAAAAATAATTTCCATAAACCAGCTGTTATCCTGAGAATAGCCTACGAAGTATCTACAGTTTTGTCATTTCAAATTGATCATTGATTTATGTTCTGATTGAATTGCAATATTGTCATCAGAATATTCCCGATTCCTGTTCAGGGCCTAAGGTGAATGCAGTGTGGCCCTTGACAACACCCACCAGCGGTGAAGTAGATGATCCCAGGGAAGCTGTCGGCCAGGGCCTTAGCCTTCATGGCCTGTCTCACCGTCAGTGTCTTCACCACAACCTTCTCTACACCTGGAACACAACGTCCATCTTGTCAAAACATGAGATTACGATAGAGTTGACAACAAAGTACTATCTTCGATGAAGCAGTCAAGAAAGTCACTCTTTGATGGAGGAGACAAGATAGTGACTCTTTGATGGAGGAGACAAGAAAGTGACTCTTTGATGGAGGAGACAAGAAAGTGACTCTTTGATGGAGGAGACAAGAAAGTGACTCTTTGATGGGGGGAGATAAGAAATTGACTCTCTTTGATGGAGAGACAAGAAAGTGACTCTTTGATGGAGGAGACAAGAAAGTGACTCTTTGATGGAGGAGACAAGAAAGTCACTCTTTGATGGAGGAGACAAGATAGTGACTCTTTGATGGAGGAGACAAGAAAGTGACTCTTTGATGGAGGAGACAAGAAAGTGACTCTTTGATGGAGGAGACAAGAAAGTGACTCTTTGATGGGGGAGATAAGAAAGTGACTCTCTTTGATGGAGAGACAAGAAAGTGACTATTTTTGATGGAGGAGACAAGAAAGTGACTGTCTTTGATGGAGGAGATAAGAAAGTGACTCTCTTTGATAGAGAGACAAGAAAGTGACTATCTTTGATTGAGAAGATAAGAAAGCGACTGTCTTTGATTGAGTGACAACAAAGTGACTCTTTGATGGAGGAGACAAGAAAGTGACTGTCTTTGATGGAGGAGACAAGAAAGTTACTCTTTAATGGAGGAGATAAAAAGTGACATAAATGGACTTCACACTTTGTAACCATGTGGGGAATCAAACCTGGGTCTTCGGCGTGACGAGCAAACGCTTTAACCACTAGGCAACCCCACCGCCCCCATTCAGAAAGAGAGTTGATGAAGAGCATTAAGATAACAAAGCCGTCTCAAAAGAAAATAGAAGTTACAGTAAGAATTGTAAACATTGTGCAGTTCAAACAGTATAAGGATTTGTATTTTCCGACTGAACCACCTAACATCTGATATAGAAACTGATATACTGGGCGCTGTGGGAGAGCTTGCTAAGGCGCCAGGCTAGTGATCCAGCGAGGTTGAGGTGTCGGGATCCAGCCCATCCATGACCGGGTGTAAAAACCTTAGAGTCAACTTTGTGTGCAGACTCTTTCAGTGTTGTCACAACCCCTAGTGTACAGTACACAACCCTGGGCACTTAAAAGAACCCACGAATCCGTTGGTATTTGACCAGATGGTGGCCACATGAATATGTGCAAACACCTAATTGTGGGTACAGCAACATGCAGTGAACTTGGACAAAGTACTGTGACTATGTGTCCCAGTCCACCCAGCTGTGAATGGGTACCTCGTTAGGATGAGAAAGCCACAATAACTCGGTGCGCCTAGTGGCTGCAAGAGTTGTATACTCCCCAGGGAGTTGAGTTTGATAATCCGATGTGCCGTTGAGATTGACATCCAATGATCGAGGGAAAAAATACCAGCGCCTTGAGCATGCACTAGTGCGTGGATATGTGCGCTATATAAATATCCTGTAATAATAAATATAATAATAATATATACAGAGGTCATGACAAGAGTATGTTTCAACATGGATTATGCTATATAAATATCCTGTAATAATAAATATAATAATAATATATACAGAGGTCATGACAAGAGTATGTTTCAAGATGGATTATTTACTGTATGAAGAATAAGCACACTGTATTCAGTGGTACTAGATCTATAACATGAATAAACATTGTGCTTAGGGAGACTGTATTAGGAATATACATTGTATTTAGTGAGCCCTACATATTATTATGTGATTATTGGGGCTTACAATTGTACCTGGATAAATCTTAAATCCAAAGTGTCAGTATGTTTTTACTGTGGTGTCAATGATATTTAACATACATACCAGATAGGAAAGCTCGTTTGATGACTTCGTTGACATCCTTCTTTGCAGTGAAACCAGGATCAACAAGATAAGCTCCTGCATCTATCATGTGATACATTAACTCTGTTCTCTCTTTTGACATTGAAACCACAGACTCAACACATTCGGAAAGACAAAACACTGTCCCTTCCTCATTTTTTCTCCATTTTGATGTGACACGTTTCTGCATATTCTCGGGCTTTTTGACTGAAAGCTCCTTTCCTTTGAGTAACCTGAAGAAAATAGATACCGTACAACAAGTTGAGTATGTGAGTATGTCATGTGAGTGAATGGGCGAGAGTGTCTGTTCATTGTCTTGACCGTGTCTTAAAGCCCCATTCATGTGCATTTTCCTGTTTCTGGGTATTCATGTTTTGGTAATTGGATGGAGAAAAAGCTAATTGTTTTTGGTTCTGCAAAAAGTTATCTGAATATGTTGGCAGGTAAACAGTTCCACTTGTCTTCAGTGTAGTAATTGAACAATTATTCACATTTTTTGCGGTAAATACAAACAAGGAAAATACTTTTATTCAGATATTTCCTCCCACCTGACATTATGTTGCTGACTTTGTAAACTATTTAAAACAAATTTAAAACAGAAAGTTGGACGTGCTTCAACATTCCCTTACATGCCATCCATCTGTAACACCTCTTTTGTGAGGGTCTTGGGCACCACCACCTCTGCACACTCCTTGGACTTGCCATGCTTGTCCACATGTATGTACACCTGGATGCTGGGATCTAGGCACATGTACTCCTTGAGGTACAGGGGGCTCACAGACTTGTCAACATTCACTGAAGTCAGTAGAAATAGTCCAATACAGTCATTGTACAAGGATTAATCAGTAATACAGAATTATGTTATAATTACTTTGATTTTCTGTTTAAGGCAGCCTCTGACTCTGTGATGGGATTTTTTCCAAGTCATCTGACACAGGGCGATGTCCACCTGACTAATAAGGTCAATTTGGTCAACAGGCTGAGACCATAACAATGTCATGTGGTATAACTCTGACCAACTTCAGATGTACTGATGCAAATGGTTTGATTGTCATTCTGGAAGTTGTCAATAATGACCCAAAAACTTTATGGATTACAACTTCTTGCTTATTGCATTATGTTTAAGAGTGACATTTCAGTGTAGTTACTAAAACTGTTATCACTCTTAGAGGTGAGGTGAGGTGAGGTGAGGTGAGGTGAGGTGAGGAGATATGGGGTTTAACGTCGTGCTTGAGAATATTTCACTCATATGACGACGTGCATGTGTGTGTATGTGTTTGTGCGGCTGCATGTACTAGCCCAGACTGAAAAGCTGGTTTTATAGTGCTAGCCCACTGAGATACCATGCCGCAGTGAAGCATGAATACCCCACTCAGACACTCCAAGCCGACCAGTCCTTGTTGTACCCATTAATGCCGAGCGCCAGGCAGGGACCAACAAGTACCATATTTTAACGTCTTTTGGTATGACACGGCCGGGGATCGAACCCGTGACCTTCCGCTCTCCGGGCGGACGCTTTAACCACTACACCACGGAGGCGGTCTTTGAGCAATAAACAAGAAGTTGGCATTCATAAAGTTGTACGCTTCATTATACTGATACAGTTTACACACTACCGGCCTTTATACATAGTACAGATGTCAGGTACCTGATAAATAGCTGGTATACAATGGAGAATGAACTTTCAAATCTTATTGTATATTTTAATTTGTATCGTAAATGGAAATTTTACACAAATGCCTTCTTTTAAGAGATGTCATGCTGACATCACAGGAGAATGTATACAGATAGACATGTTGATTAAATCTGAATGACTCCAAAACAACTACTTAACTGCAATAACTTACGGACATAAAACTTCTGGTAAGTGCTGAAAATGTCCTCTAAGCTGTTGAGGATCTGGGCCCGTTGGTTATGGTGTCCGTCATGACGAGATGAAACAGTCTGATGAGGAGAGCAGCCTTCTTTGTCAGCAGCCTTTGATGTTAGAGTGAATCATCTTGGCAGGCAGTCTCAGTATAATATTGTTTGTTAGTTGTGAAATATCAGCGATTTACCTCACTTCCGCATTCTGGCTCCAGCCGACCCGACAGTTAACTAAGAAAATTACGCATAAAAATCAAAATAAACAAACCCTAAGTTAAAGATAATTCAGCTGATAAGTTTTATGCAGTTTCTATACCGTGTCACGTCACAAAACATTTCAAATATCCAAGGTAGTAACGGTGTCTAGGATGGGAGCATTTGTTGTGAGAGAAGCCAAGGGTAGATAACTCTAAATATTCTCCACACTTTACGTCGCTTCTTCAGTAAATACGCTCGTTTGTTTGCGGCCGGTGTTTTTGTCAGCTTCATTTAGTAGAAATTGTTTGTCATTGTTGTGAATGTGAAATTCATACTCTTCGATCAGTTCCATATCAACATCTTGTGTCACAAGAATATTAGGTTCTTGTGGACCCGTAATCAATCCACGTATTGCACAATGTATTCGAAATCAGAACAGTGCATGCAGGCCATCGATATATGAAAAGATTAAAGACAGTCTCAATTGTTTCAGGAGATGGTGGATAACGAAGAAGTCTCGTCCAAATTAGACCAAAACTCAAAAGGCGGTATTGTTGTAGTACAAGTTGATGCAGTTTCATTCAATGAATATGTATAATGTACACGCCCTGTATATAAATAGAGTATCTCACCCAAGTGTCTTCTGATATCAATTATATCAACACGAGTTGATAAAGTTACAAATATCCGAGGCTTGCCGAGGATATTTTTACTTTATCAACGAGTGTTGATATATTTGATATCAGAAGACACGAGGGTGAGATTCTATTTATCATCCAAAATCACTCTTCATTAATTTTCAATGAAAGATGTACATCTCTGAACATGGTACTGCCATTAGACTTGCATCGCAACGATGTCATAGCATTGTGACGTCATCAAGTACATGACGTCATAGCATTGTCAGGCATTGTACAAAATCTACTGTCAAAACGATATCTCCTAGGAGATATCGTTTGATCTCACACAAGCGATATCTCCTGTGGAACACAGTTTTGGATGATAAATGATAATCTTCTAAAATGACATAATAAGAGTCTTTCACACTTGTAACAAATAGTTTGCTGAGTTTGACATGACACACAGATATCATGAACCTTGCCCAAAGTGGACTCGTCAAGGAAGAAAAAGACAACACTAAGGTGTAGCCGTCATATAATTTGTGCCAGTGAGTAAAATCATTACTCAACCATACACACTTTCAGGTTAACAAGAAATAGAGAATCTCACCCAAGTGTCTTCTGATATCAATTATATCAACACGAGTTGATAAAGTTACAAATATCCGAGGCTTGCCGAGGATATTTTAACTTTTATCAACGAGTGTTGATATATTTGATATCAGAAGACACGAGGGTGAGATTCTATTTATCATCCAAAATCACCCTTCATTAGTGTTCAATGAAAAATGTACATCACTGAACACAGTACTGCCATTAGGCTTGCAGTGAAGCATTGTCATAGCATTGTGACGTCATCAAGTTCATGACATCATTGCATTGTCAGGGCATTGTACAAAATATATTGTCAAAGCGATATCTCCTAGGAGATATCGTTTGATCTCACACAAGCAATATCTCTTTTGTAACACAGTTTTGGATGATAATCACGTCTACATTTTAATTTGTAGGATAAGTATGTATATAATTCATTGTTTAAGAACTATCCTGGCTGCCTCTTAAGTAATTTAAAAACAAGTAGCCTGTAAGAAGGTACAATCATTTGTTTAACGCCATTTTCGTCAATATTCCAGCTGTACGAAGGCTTTCTGTAACACTCGGGTAGAAGTACCAGACAATCCAGTGATTCGCACGTACGTGCAAGTAGCTTCGGCATGGGATCACGTGCATCTGACAATGACAGACCACCCGAACACTGGAACATTTCTCAGCTGCTGATGCTGGTGGTTTTGCTTTCTGAAATTGTACAAACTTAGAGGAATATGTAGCCGAAAATGCTTCATTGCATCAGGGAGACTACCTAACGTTGTAGATTATCCCTGATTTTATTAACGTAGAGTCGATGATAACCGCCGCCGTGGAGCTGGAAAATTGCAGCGTGTGGCGTTATCAACAAATAATTTCAACTAATGCATCGGTGCTATGTGTTTGTCAGATATCTCTGATGATGTGTCATTCCTTTAAATTAAGGAAGTTAACGAGAAAACGTATCTATTTTCAGTTCAGATATTTCTAAGTGATAGCATTAGTCAGGGTGCTGGTAGATGGAGTCATTTCTGCATTGGCATGGCCAAGTGCCGGCGTTCCTCACAGTTGGATGTGCACACCCTAGGGGACTGTTTAAGAATAGATAACTATTTCGTTCACGAGAAACAACTTTTCAAGCCCTGTCGGAATGTCACATTTAAGTGACAAGATCTTTTCAGACGGTTATGTACATATTTTATATGGCATGGTTATTTAGTTAATACCGAAACCAAGTGTAAGTGAATGAACGGTACATGCAGAGCCTAAGGAACCTGTATAACTACATTAAAGCATGTTTTTAAAACAGCCCTATTTCAAGACAACCATGTTAAATTCTGACCATCTAGGTGTTGAGCCTATGGGGAAAAAAACACAACAAATTTCATGATATTGATATTAAAATGCATTGGTACCATGGACGAGCACCTTGACTGCTCAAAATCAGACTGTGTTCTTACCATCTTTCATCATAAGCACGAGACCTGTCAAAGTGAGTGAGTGAGTTTAGTTTTACGCCGCACTCAGAAATATTCCAAATATATGGTGGTGGTTTGTAAATAATCGAGCCTGGACAATACAATCCAGTGATCAACAGCATGATCAACAGCATCGATCTACGCAATTTGGAAGGATGCCATGGCTATGATGTGTCAACCAAGTCAGCGAGTTTGGCCACCCGATCCAGTTAGTCGCCTCTTACGACAAGCATGGGTTACTGAAGATCATTTCTAACCCGGATCTTCATGGGTCGGTAAATCAGTGGCAGGGAATTGGCTATTTGATGGTTATTGAAAGATATTAGATCATCGACATACCTGATGCTTAAGCTAAACCGCTTGGTCAAATATCTTGTTCTTATTTTGCTAACCTAAGCAGAAATTCTAAATTTATATACATAGAGAAACAGATCCGCGTGGTAGGGAGCACAGGGGGGGGCCTATTTCTTGTCTAATGTTTTACCCCCAACTGGATGTTCACGGATCGAGACAGGTCAAAACATGGGATGACAAATTATGATTTTAAATCAAAACATACCTATGCAAAAGTATATCCTTTTCGGTTTCAAAGTAAATACCGTGCTTCATGTCGGCCGATGGGTACAAGGATATAGGCTAAACCTCTTTGTGAAAATTGTGGACTTTACTTCGTATTTATGGTTGTATGAAAATATACTGAGTCAAAAAAGAAACTTCACATTCTTTCTTCAGGGCACTATAAAAGAACAAGAGATGGTAAGATGGTTAAATTGTTATTATTTCATTGCTGAGATCTGTGTGATGTACTCGATACACTGACAGTGCCATAATCAGTTCTATTAGGCTACACCGCCGTTCCAAAACATGGGTATTCAGAATGTCAAGTCACAAGAATAAAAATGCGAAATTTCTAAGTTCAATATCGTGTATGGCCTCCTCGCTCATTCACCACTGCAAAACACCGTCTCCTCATCGACTGCCTGATGCATGTGAACACGTGGTTGGGGATTCTGCGCCATTGATCTTGTAAGGCAGCGCCAAGTTCCTGCAAATTCTGAGGTTGGTTCCTAAGACCACGGAGCCTTCTCCCAAGTGCATCCCAAACGTGCTCTATTGGATTAAGGTCAGGGGACCTCGATGGCCAGTCCATGACGTTGATTCCAGCGTTTTGAAGGAAATTTCGTGTCAACATCGCGGTATGCGGCCGAGCATTATCATGCTGGAACTGTAGACCTGGGCCATGAGCTGCCATGAAAGGAACGAGTTCAGGGGTGAGCACCTGGTCGCGGTAAGCAGCAGCTGTGAGGTTTCCACGGATGACCAGAAGTCGGCAACGGTTGTTCCCACAGAAAGCACCCCACACCATGCAACTTCCGACCCCGAATCTGTCGACTTCCTGTACACAACATTGGGCATACCGTTCACGACGTCGTCTCCAGACTCTATGCCTGCCGTCCGCGAATCTGAGGGTAAACCTGGATTCATCGCTAAAGACGACTCGATTCCAGTCTCTCTGGGTCCATCGGAGGTGACGTTGGGCCCACAGCAGACGTTGACGTTGATGAAACGGCGTCAATATTGGCCACGATATGGACGTCGAGAATGAAGATTGGCAGCCCGCAACCGATTTCGAATGGTCTGTGAGGACAGTCGACCTCTAAACATCTCAGCCCTGGTTCGTGTAGCCGGCAGAAATCTGTCACGTAGGTGACGTAGGACGATTTGACAGTCTTCTGCTCATGACGTCACACGTAGACGACCCGACCTTGGGCGATCAGAAGTGGTGCCAGTTTGTTGTAGACGACCTCGCAAGTCATACACAGTACGACGGCTGCATCCCATTGCTCTTGCGACGTCAATAACTGATCTTCCCGCTTGCAACATGCCAACGGCACGTTCACGTGCACATTTGACAATCGTGGCATTTCAAGTACCGTTAGAACTGTGGTTTCAAAGTGTTTTTTCAATTCTTGAGGCCAATGCAAACACGTGCATATGAAGAAAACTTCGATGCGAAGATCACGTGATCGACTGCACGTGCAAAACCTGATTTGGCACTAACGTCATTTGCACGACGAATGGATGGGTTTGAGTGGGTTTTGCTAACGTTTTTCTAGAGTCGAAAGATAGGGATCCCATTTCGGATACATAGATGTATCATCAGAGAAAAATTATTCATTATTTTTCAAATTACATTTTGTGATGTTTCATTTTTGACTCAGTATAGAACCTTAAAATATTACCGTTGTTTCCTTCAGGAATACTGGTCACAATATCTATTCCATCATATGTACTGAAATAAAGATTGATTGACGTTTTGTGTGTGTTGTTGGAAGCCTTTCAGTAGGACGGAGGTATGGAACTAATTGAGTCTGGACCAGACAATCCAGTGATTGACATGAGCAACAAACCACGCCCTTGGTGTCCCATGTAGTCGCCTCTCAACATCAGCACAGATGTCTGGGGGCCAGTTTTAACCCGGAATATCCACATGTGCAGGAAGGTACCAATGTGAATATAGAAGGCAGCCAAGTTTCCCATACAGTTACCAGACACAGCCAATCCCACAAGCAAATTGTTGTGATCTAGATTATCTTTGATATGAAAACACATGGTAACTATCTTGATAGAGGAGAACTTGAGAAATGTATATTGCTTCTATTTAGAACTTCATAATAATTGAAATACAGTTAATGGTTTTTATTCATTGGTACTTGGAAACAACAAGGTATAATAGTTCATAACATAAGCCAAGAATGTGCCCAGGTAGATTCAACGAAGTGACTCCATCTGTTCCAGTGAAGTGGGGATTGTCGCTCACCGTTCCAGCCACACAAGACCCTCCAGAACCACCATTCTGAGGGAATACCATAGTCTTCCCAGACAGCAGGATGCCAACACATTTCAGTTTCACACGAGATTGGTTGGTTGGTTTGTTGTTGAACACCTCACTCCAGCGATATGGCAGCAGTCTGTAAATAATCGAGTGTGGTCAACAGCATGAGCATCCCTCTATGCAAATGGGAACCGATGACATGTGTCAAGTCGGCAAGCCTGACCACCCGATCCCGTTAGTTGACTCTTACGACAAGCATGGGTTACTGAAGATCAGTGCTAACCCACATCTTCACAGGTCTACACACCGGAGGCTACTTCATAAATTATATCCCTGCGAGCATTTACACATTTTATTTACAAAACCAAACACACAAGGGCAATCAACTCTTATCATATAAACCATTCCTGAAAATTGTTCCTGAGGTATTTTCATTTGCATGAACCATCAATGGTTTAACTGTGACAACAATTTGTATGAATCAACAATGGTTTAACTGTGACAATGGTCTGTATGAATCAACAATGGTTTAACTGTGACAATGGTCTGTATGAATCATCAATGGTTTAACTGTGATAATGATCTGTATGAATCAACAATGGTTTAACTGTGACAATGGTCTGTATGAATCATCAATAGTTTAACTGTGACAACAATTTGTATGAATCAACAATGGTTTAACTGTGACAATGGTCTGTATGAATCAAAAATGGTTCAACTATAACAATAATTTGTATGTATCAACAATGGTTCAACTATGACAATGGTTTGTATGTACCAACTATAACTCAACTGTGATAATGATCTCTATATACCAACAATGGTTCAGCTGACAATGGTTTGTATGTATCAACAGTGATTCAACAGTCACAACTCTAATTGTAAGGGTGGCTCAGCCATCAAGGTCACTGGAATCTTCTGCACAATTCCATGATTGAGGGCTTGATCCTTTGTTAAAAGTCCCTACCCAGTAAGTTGAGTAAGTCTCTGACAATGCATACATATATCAGTTTTCCACACACATCACGCTGACAATGACTGATGAATCTGAGAGACTTTACACAGCAGGAATGAACTGTATAGGTATTTACTCATTCAATGACAGAATCCAGTTTCCAAACATACTGGAATGTTAACAAGATGGTGACCATGAGAATACCAAGGATGAATGTAAGTCCTGGGAATACATACTTCCTCCTCTTGTCTGGCTGGAGGTCAACAACCTCAGAGGTCACTTCCTGCACCTCACTACATGTTCCTTCAGAACTTTCTACCAACTTCCTGTCAGACTTTTCAGTAAATCTATAGAATGTATACGTATTTTGTCTGACCATGTCCGCGAGCTGTTGTGGAGTCCGCTGAACTCTACCCGATGCCAACTCCAAGATGCTGTGTAAACTAAGTGGCTCGTTCCGCTTACAACAGTACTTCATTGTCAACTTTGAGCTGTCCTCCGACAAGTTACAACCATCAACTTTGAACACTGCTTGATGGTGAGATCTTGATGAACCAGCGTAGTTGCCGATGAAGTCGGGGTACTTTCCAGGAGCCTCGCTGGCCAGGATTAGCCTCATTGTCTCTATGTCACGTGATACACTGCTCAGCCAATCTCTTGGACATCCCTTATATGGGCTAGTCCAGGCATGTCCTTGAAAGAAAAGACATTAGATCATCTGAATTAAATACTGAAGAAAAAGCAGGATTATATTTTCCTCTATGGACATAAAGTCACAAAGTGACAACTGTATGACAAGGGCTAAAACGGTAGAAGTAGGTTTGATTCCTTATTTTTGTTGTAACTTGAGTAGGTGAACAATTTCTTGAAGTGTACTATGTATCATGCAGAAACATGAAGTATACATCCTGTACAATCTTCACTTTGTTTCAATTATTCTTACATTCATACTCTATTCAATGCCATTTGCACTGGCGACTTGAACCCCCTTCCCTAACTTTATGTGTAGGCAATAGTTTGAAGCTAGTAAAGCCCTCTTCACAGCTAGAAGGTCATAACTATGTACACGTTTTCAAAAACCTATAAAGCTGTATTGACTAGGCTTTTGTATGTCTGTAGTAAACTTCCACTCACTCACTCAAAGAGAAAGAAACACACCTTGGGGCTACTGAGAATGGGACAATAAGATGTATTACCAGTGTATCAAATAAGGCCCGTCCAACCGCCCAAGACAGGCTAGATTTCTAACGGACGGTCTAAATTTACAGCTAGCCAGCCCAATGGTCTGGTACAAATTTTAGATGTTCCATACACCTGAGTAAATTCACCATATTTGGTCTGGTTAAATCCACTTGGGCAGGTAACATTTTGAACTTACCAGCCTTGATGTCTGGCTTATTTCATACACTGGTATTACCTGTCAAAGAGATGTGCTACCTGTCAAAAAGATCTGTTACCTGCCAAGGAGATGTGTTACCTGTCAAAGAGGTGTGTTACCTGTCAAAGAGATGTGTTACCTGCCAAAGAGATGTTACCTATCAATGAGATGTGTTACCTTTCAAAGAGATGTGTTACCTGCCAAGGAGATGTGTTACCTGTCAAAAAGAGGTGTTACCTGCCAAGTAGATGTGTTACCTGCTAAGTAGATGTGTTAACTGTCAAAGAGTGTGTTACCTGCCAAGGAGATGAGTTACCTTTCTAGGATCCAGAGATGTGCTACTTGTCAAAACGGTGTGTTACCTGTCAAAGAGGTGTGTTACCTGCCAAGGAGATGTGTTACATGTCAAAGAGGTGTGTTACCTGCAAAGAAGATGTGTTACCTGTCAAAGAGATGTGTTACCTTTCTAGGATCCAGAGATGTGTTACTTGTCAAAACGGTGTGTTACCTGTCAAAGAGATGTGTTATCTGCCAAGGGGACGTGTTACCTGCAAAGGAGATGTGTTACCTGTCAAACAGGTGTGTTACCTACTAAGGAGATGTGTTATCTTTCTAGGATCCAGAGATGTGTTACCTCTCAAAGAGATGTGTTACCTGCCAAGGAGATGTTCTACCTTTTACCTGTCAAGGAGATGTAGAATCCCATGTCATAGAATGCCTTCAAGTCTGTCGTTGTCAGCCTGTCTCCGCTAATACAAACTGGCGGTAGTTTGTCCTTGAATTCTGAGAGGATCCTCTGTGTTGTCTCCAGCTTACTCGTGTCACACAACACCAGGGGTATGTCCATGTCACATGCCTGTTTCACCTGTCAAAATGTCACACAACACTACATCACCTGTCACACAACACTACATCAACTGTCACACAGTGCATCACCTGTCACACAACACTACATCACCTGTCACACAGCTCTATATCACCTGTCACACAACACTACATCACCTGTCACACAACACTACATCACATGTCACACAGCTCTATATCACCTGTCACACAACACTAAATCACCTGTCATACAACATTATATCACCTGTCACACAACACTACATCACCTGTCACACAGCTCTATATCACCTCTCACACAACACTACATCACATGTCACACAGCACTATATCACCTCTCACAGAACACTACATCAACTGTCACACAACACTACATCACCTGTCACACAGCACTAAATCACCTCTCACAGAACACTACATCAACTGTCACACAACACTACATCACCTGTCACACAGCTCTATATCACCTCTCACACAACACTACATCACATGTCACACAGCACTATATCACCTCTCACAGAACACTACATCAACTGTCACACAACACTACATCACCTGTCACACAGCACTAAATCACCTCTCACAGAACACTACATCAACTGTCACACAACACTACATCATCTGTCACACAATACTACATCAACTGTCACACAACACTACATCAACTGTCACACAACACTACATCACCTGTCACACAACATTATATCACCTGTCACACAACACTACATCACCTGTCATACAACATTATATCACCTGTCACACAACACTACATCACCTGTCATACAACACTACATCACCTGTCACACAACACTACATCACATGTCACACAAGACTACATCACATGTCACACAGCTCTATATCACCTCTCACACAACACTACATCACCTGTCACACAACACTGCATCACCTATCGCAACACTACATCACCTGTCACACAACACTGCATCACCTATCACAACACTACACTGCATCACCTCACACAACACTGCATCACCTATTACAACACTACATCACCTGTCACACAACATTATATCACCTGTCACACAACACTGCATCACTTATCACAACACTACATCACCTGTCACACAACACTACATCACCTGTCATACACCACTACATCACCTGTCGCACAACACTACATCACATGTCACACAGTACTATATCACCTGTCACACAACACTACATCACCTGTCACACAACACTACATCACCTGTCACACAACACTACATCACCTATCACAACACTACATCACCTGTCACACAACACTACATCACCTGTCACAGAACACTACATCAACTGTCACACAACACTACATCACCTGTCACACAACACTACATCAGCTATCACAACACTACATCACCTGTCATACAACATTATATCACCTGTCACACAACACTACATCACCTGTCACACAGTACTACATCACCTGTCACACAACACTACATCACATGTCACATAGCTCTATATCACCTCTCACACAACACTACATCACCTGTCACACAACACTACATCACCTGTCATACAACATTATATCACCTGTCACACAACACTACATCACCTGTCACACAACACTGCATCACCTGACATACAACACTACATCACCTGTCACACAACACTACATCACCTGTCATACAATGCATCAACTGTCACACAACACTACATCACCTGTCACACAACACTACATCACCTGTCACACAGCACACACTATTCTCACCACATAACCTAACTGTCTCACCTGGGCTCTGAACATCTCCCTCTGAGTGTCTGTTTCAGCCTTTCCCAGCCCGATCTCACCCAGGGCCACACACTGGGGGTGGGATAGGAGGTCACACAGTTGCTGTAGAGTTCTCTCCCCTTTCCATGAACTTTCTTTGGTGGGGTGGATGCCTTGTAAGCATTTACAAACATATCATGAGAATTCCAATCACATGTGCAACCATCCCTCCAAATCAACCCCCATTTATCAAACTAATACAGGCTAAGATATATATAATTTGGTTTAAATTTTCTCATGTATACACAATCATCAAAGTAACTGCTCAACTGAAAAAAATAATAATTATGATAACTTTGATCAGTTTTCTAAAATGAAGGAAACACATATTCATCTTCCTTCAACACATCTGTAAATATCTAAAGTTCTCCACAAAACCTGGCATGCCTTTCATTTGAAATTTTCAATTTGTTTACACTCACAGCTTCTTCTGTCTGGCAATTTGAGAGATGTTTATTCAGCCCAACATGCAGTTTGAGTATATTGTAGAGCATGGTCAAACATTGAAAAATAATTTCCATAAACCAGCTGTTATCCTGAGAAAAGCCTAAGAAGTATCTACAGTTTTGTCATTTCAAATTGATCATTGATTCATGTTCTGATTGAATTGCAATATTGTCATCAGAATATTCCCGATTCCTGTTCAGGGCCTAAGGTGAATGTAGTGTGGCCCTTGACAACACCCACCAGCGGTGAAGTAGATGATCCCAGGGAAGCTGTCGGCCAGGGCCTTAGCCTTCATGGCCTGTCTCACCGTCAGTGTCTTCACCACAACCTTCTCTACACCTGGAACACAACGCCCATCTTGTCAAAACTTATTTGTTTGATCAGTATTCTAAAAGTCTATCAAAGCACTCTTATTAGAGTGTGGTTACTACTTATCCTACTTATTTACTGGCTTCATCACCAGTTCCATTTGTAGTTCCTGGTCCCCAACTGGTCTCTTCAATTATGTACCACTTGTTTCAATTACATGCTGCTTATGTTAATCTGCTGTTTTGTCATAACATACCATGTTATCTGATCTTTGCCCCAAAATACTATGTAATATTCTTCTCAACATTTGCTTGTAGTTACGTATAGCTTGATAACGGCCTAAGAATCTATATCAAAATGTCGCTATATGCCATAAAAAAGAAGTTGTCATCAATAAAGTTGTATGCTTCATTTTGAACAGATACCTTTCTTTGATGGAGTAGACAAATAATACAGCTACAATCAATCACAAATGTTTATTGGTTGTTTGATGGTTTGTCAATGAAGTCAGCCAGCCTGACCACCCGATCCTGTTAGTCACATCTTACGACAAGCATGGGTTACTGCATGAAGACCAATTCTAACCTGGATCTTCACGGGTCAAAACTTTACTGTATTAAGAATAAGCAAACTGTTTTCAGGGAGAGTGTCATAGGAATAAACATTGTGCTCAGAGAGATTGTCATAGGAATAAACATTGTGCTCAGGGAGATTGTCATAGGAATAAACATTGTGTTCAGGGAGATTGTCATAGGAATAAACATTGTGTTCAGGGAGATTGTCATAGGAATAAACATTGTGCTCAGAGAGATTGTCATAGGAGATTGTCATAGGAATAAACATTGTGCTCAGAGAGATTGTCATAGGAATAAACATTGTGTTCAGGGAGATAGTCACAGGAATAAACATTGTGCTCAGAGAGGTTTTCTTAGGAATAAACATTGTGTTCAGGGAGACTGTCATAGGAATCAACATTGTGCTCAGGGAGATTGTTATAGGAATAAACATTGTGTTCAGGGAGATTGTTATAGGAATAAACATTGTGTTCAGGGAGACTGTCATAGGAACAAACATTGTGTTCAGGGAGATTGTCATAGGAATAAACATTGTGTTCAGGGAGACTGTTATAGGAATGAACATTCTGTTAAGGGAGATTGTTATAGGAATGAACATTGTGTTCAGGGAGATTGTCATTGGAATAAACATTGTGTTCAGGGAGACTATTATAGGAATGAACATTCTGTTAAGGTAGATTGTTATAGAAATGAACATTGTGTTCAGGGAGATTGTCATAGGAATAAACATTGTGTTCAGGGAGACTGTCAAAAGAATGAGAATTGTGCTCAGGGAGACTCTATTAGAAATATACATAGTATTTAGTGAGCCATACATAAAATAGGTTTTGTCCATTTTGAACTCTGGGAAAGTCAGCACAATAACTAGATAAATCAAAAGTATCAACATATTTCTGTTATGGAATCCATGATATTTTTATCATACATACCAGATAGGAAAGCTCGTTTGATGACTTCGTTGACATCCTTCTCTGCAGTGAAACCAGGATCAACAAGATAAGCTCCTGCATCTATCATGTGATACATAAACTCTGTTCTCTCTTTTGACATTGAAACCACAGACTCAACACATTCGGAAAGACAAAACACTGTCCCTTCCTCATTCTTTCTCCATTTTGATGTGACAAGTTTCTGCATATTCTCTGGTTGTTTGACTGAAAGCTCCTTTCCTTTGAGTAACCTGAAGAAAATAGATACCGTACAACAGGTTGAATTCATGTGAGTAAATGGGCGAAAGTTTGTGTGCGTTATCTTAAATGACCATGTCTTAAAACCCCATTCCTGTCCTTTTATCTTGTTTCTGGGTACTGTTCTGAAGGGAGAAAAAAATGAAGGAAAATACTTTCCAGAATTGGCTTTCATTCCTCAAAAAATTATCTAAATATCTTGCCCGTGCAGGTAAACAGTTTCTCTTGTGCTTGTCCAATTCAACAGTTATTCACATTATTCGTTAGGGCTAGCAATCAATATAGATTAAAGAGATCGATAATCGTTAACAAAATATCAATCGATTATTGATAAATATCGGAGGCATAACTTTGAGCAAAAATGCCCAAACTGTCTGAACGAAATGAATATATTTCACATCACGTAAGTTGTGGCATGTTTTTGCTTTGGTTATTAACAAGGCAGCATCCGAAATATAATTCAGAAGCAGACCATGAATAAAGTCCTGAATTTGTATATTGTGAGAGAAAACTAAAACTTTTAAAACTTAAAAATTAATGTACGATATTATCGATAGCACAATTTTCATATTGATAATCATTAACAACTTTTAAGACGACATTTCCGATTATCAATTATATTCATCCTCCCTATTATTTGTGGCATATAATAAAAAGGAAAATATGTTTTTCAGACTTTTCCTCCCACCTGACATTATCTTAATGTCAGTACACTTTGTGAATTCATTTTTTTTTAAAGTTGGAGTTGCTTCAAGATCCCCTTACCTGCCATCCATCCGTAACACCTCTTTTGTGAGGGTCTTGGGCACCACCACCTCTGCACATTCCTTGGACTTGCCACGCTTGTCCACATGTATATACACCTGGATGCTGGGATCTAGGCACATGTACTCCTTGAGGTAAAGGGGGCTCACAGACTTGTCAACATTCACTGAAGTCAGTAGAAATAGTCCAATACAGTCATTGTACAAGTGGAACGGTGGGGTAGCCTAGTGGTTAAATCATTCATTCATCACGCTGAAGACCTGGGTTCGATTCCCCACATGGGTACAATGTGTGAAGCCCATTTCTGGTGTCCCCCGCCGTGATATCGCTGGAATATTGCTAACAGCGATGCAAAACTAAACTCACTTACTCACTCATTGTACAAGTATTAATCTCTAATGTCAAATTACATTATAATTACATTGATTCTGTTTAATTTTTAGTCTGTAATTGGATTCGAAACATGGGCCTTGTAATCTGACAAGGGGCGGTGTCCACCTGACTGATGAGGTCAACCCAGTCAACAGGCTGAGACCATAACGATGTCATGTGGTATAACTAACTCTATGACCTAGTTTTAGACACTACCCTTTATACATAGAACATGTGAGAGGTAGGTGAGTGGGTGGTTAAGTCAGTGGGTGAGTGGGTGGTACCTGATAAATACCTGGATTACAAAGGAGAACAATCTTTCTAATCTTATTGTATAGTTTTATATCGTAAATGTAAAATTTTACATGAATGACTTCCTTGTAATGTATGTTATATTTGGGATTACACTTTCTTAATAAAGTACAGATTATAGTACTTTTGGGGTTGAGTCCTTTTCAGGATTCGAATCCACATCCTCAGAGTCAGGCACCTAATCGCCAGCACACAAAGTCAGACGCCTAGACCGCTCAGCCACCGCGGCTTCCACAAAAATGGAAGTCGGACAACTGGTAGTCTGCACTGCGGACTTCGTGTACCCCTCTGATAAGTGTTATTTGGCACGGCTCCCAAGGGATTCGAACCCACACCCTCAGAGTCAGGCACCTCAGCCAGACTCTCAGGGTGTGGGTTCGAATCCTGGATGGGACTCAACCAAAAAAGTACTAGAATCTGTACTTTACTAAGAAAGTGTAATCCCAAATATAACATACGTTACATTTGACCACTTTCTAAAATGGCATTGTGTATTTCAATGACTTCCTTGCCATAACAGATGCATGGGTGAATTATGTAGTCATCTCAGAAGAATGTATACAGATAGACAGGTAGCCGAGAACTAGCCGGTCCTATACAGTCAAGATATGACCCTGTATACATGACCCGGCATGTCTTGACTGTACTCTGAGTATAGGACGGTGTCGTGGCTCTCGGCTAATAGTCATGTTGACTAAATCTGTAAGATTACCAAAGACATTGCATAATTTCGATAACTTACTGATATAAAACTTCTGTTGAGTGCTGAAAATATCCTCTGTTGAGGATCTCGACCCATTACTTGTGTCCGTCATGACGAGGTGAAACAGTCAGTCTCGTTTTAACCTTATCTGTCAGTTGTGAAACATCAACATGATAAACCACACTTCCTCATTCTGTCTCCAGCCGACCCGACAGTTTTAAAACTGTGATAATACGCATACAAAATCCAGATAAACAAATCCTTTAGTTACAGATAATTCATCTCTTCAAAATTGACAATTTTGTACAGGTTTCATAACATGTCACATCATTAAACAATCCAAGGTGGAGACACGTGTTCAGATTGGGAGTATTTGTTGTGAGAGAAGACAAGGGTAGATAACTCTAATTAACCCCCACACATACGACGCTTCTTTGATCCCTCCGTATTAACTGTTTGGGGCTTTTAATAGTCAATTTCATTTCGTCTAAATTGATTGACATTGTTATGAATGTGAAATTCATACTCTTTGATCATTTACATATTGACATATCATGATGACAAGAATTCGGTTCAGGAGCGATGACCACGCCCCCTCGTGTGGACCCGGAAGCAATCGACGTATTGCACCATGTATTCGAAACCCGAATACATATGTAGTCGTCGGAGTTGGAGACCCACGATAGCATGTAAGGATTGAAGACGGTAACAGTTGTTTCAGGAAATGATGGATAACGAAGAAGTTCCACCCTTATCACCTGTAAAGCAAGTCGTGCGTAAAACTCTACTAATTGGTAAGTTAGTCACTATAGCAACTAGGGGAAGTAGAAGTAATTCACAGGTAATAATATTGAAATTATTGCATGCTTAAATAGTTTTAAATGTCCAAGAGTTGATGCTGATGTTTTGGAAATTCCTGATTATTATATCCTGTAATATTTGTACAACGTGTCAAGACATGTTGTTGTTAGCACGAATATTGTTCGTTAACCTTTATGGAACACCTTCACGCGCATGATCAATGCTGTTTACCGATTTTAAGAACATTAAGGAAATAATAAAGAATTTAGTTTAGTCTGCCCTAAAGACATCCTCGCGACATAGTCAATGAGTGAGATTTTGTGCTTCTAGGAGCAAAATACCTGCCCTGTCCGAATGGGACGCCAGTGAGGGGCTGCCCATTTTTTACACACTTCCTGGTGGAATTCTAAATTAACATGACCCATTGTAATTCTAGTTAACAGCTAGTTAAATGTTACCTCACTATAAATAGCTAGGATTATTAAAGCCTACCTCATACAGTTATTATTGAATTTGGCTTATGTTTACACTGGAGAAGTTTGTTGCCCTAATTCAATATTATCATGTTACTACCATATTGGCATTAGCATCACATATTGGTATTATTAAATCTTGCTTACTTGAGACAGTAAGTTTTACCTGGAACTCAAAGAACATACCAGAGAGGGGCACACTGATTCTTGGAAACTTTAATCACCTGATATTTCACAGTGAAGTCAAGGTTAGAATTGCTCCCTACTACCTATGCTATTCAGACAGCTGCCAACTGATGACTTGGTTGTGAGTGTGTCATCATGACCTGACAGGAATCGTTGCTCATCCTGTCAACCACTGGTTTATCCGGTTCATGGCTTGTGGCTGACATCATGCTGGAATATTGGTGATTGTGTGGTGAATTAGAAGATGAATAAACCTCTAATGTACTTCACATTAACACAAGTCATATGGACTTATATTTCATGTTGAGACCCATGAAGATCATTAGATCATTAGATTGGTATTCAACAACCTATGCTTGCTGAAAGAGGCGATTAACTGGATAGGATGGTCACTGGCTCGGTTGACACATGTCATTGTATCCTATTTGCATAGAGCGAAGCTCATGATAATAATTTGCGGCGCTTTTAATCAGATCTGATTCTTATTACCCGGAAAACCCAAGCTGCCTGTTAGGCTAGAAGGTTATAGTCACATGACTTTATCCAACCGGGTACCCATTTTCTGCTGGGTGAACAGAGGCAATTTGAACAAACTCACTTGCCTAAGGTGAGACCACATGTATCACATGTGCTTCATTGTGGGGCAGGACTAAAGTCCTAGAAACTCTCAGGAGTCAAGGTGCCAAACACGGTCATTATCCAAGGATTGTCTGAGCTCGACGTTGCTTAACTTCAACTGATTCGTGACCTGAGCTCTGTGCCCACAATCTGTGATGATAATTACAGGATTGTCAGGTCCAGACTTGATAATTTACAGACTGCTGCCATATAGCTGGAATATTGCTGTATGACAACAATCAAACCAAACCAACCTTTTTTTGTAGAGAACATCGGTGTGGCAACAACAGTTGATGATCTGACTCGGTGTTTCGCCCCGGCCCTACAGAAGTGTGGTAAGGACCGCCCCCCAATACAGCTGGCTGTTGACAGGAAGGGGAGGTCCCTGGGGTATGCTACTGTCACTGTGCCCCTCAGCACGGTCGAGCTTTTCCTGGACTTCAATGACAGGTGAGTGACGACATTGGTGACATTGTTTCATGACTGAGTGAACAGGTCAGTAAGGGATTGAGTGGATAGGTCAGCAGGTGAGTGAGTCAGTGGGTGTGGCATGAGGGCATGATGGGTGTTATGAGGGGTAGGGCAGTGGGTGGTTGATTCAGATAGGTCAGTGGGTGAGCAGGGGTTGATGGGTGTTATCAGGGGGTAATCACAGTGGATGGTTGATTCAGTAGGTCAGTGGGTGAGTGAGGGGTCTGATGGGTGTTATGAGGGGGTAGGGCAGTGGGTGGTTGATTCAGTAGGTCAGTGGGTGAGTGAAAGGTTGATGGGTGTTATGAGGGGGTAGGGCAGTGGATGGTTGATTCAGTAGGTCAGTGGGTGTATGAGGGGGTTGATGGGTGTTATGAGGGGGTGGGTTAGTGTGTGGTTAATTCAGTAGGTCAGTGGGTGAGTGAGGGGGTTGATGGGTGTTGATGAGGGTAGGTCAGTGGATGGTTGAGTCAGTGGGTCAGTGTGTGGTTAGTCCAGTAGGTCAGTGGGTGAGTGAGGGGTTGATGGGTGGTGAGATGAGGGCAGTGGAGTAGTTGAGTTAGGAGGTCAGTGGGTGAGTGAGGGGGTTGAAGGGTGAGTGAGAGGAGGTAAGTGAGTGGGTGGTTAAGTCAGTGGGTGAGTGAGAGGTAGGTAGTGGATGGGTGGGTGGTGAGATGTTGGTGAATGAGTGGTAGGGCAGTGAGTAGTTGAGTCAGGTCAGTGGGTGAGTGAGAGGGTTGATAGGTGTTATGAGAGGGTAGGTCAGTGGATGGTTGAGTCAGTAGGTGAGTGGGTGAGTGAGAGAGGGTTGATGGGTGTTATGAGGGGGTAGGTCAGTGGGTGAGTGAGGGGGTAGGTGAGTGGGGGTTAAGTCAGTGGGTGAGTGAGGGGTAGGGCAGTGGGTGCATGGGTAGGTCAGTGGTAAGTGAGAGGTTGGTGAATGAGTGGTAGTCAGCAGTGAGTAGTGAGTCAGTAGGTCAGTGGGTGAGTGAGGGGTTGTAGGGTTAGTGAGAATGCATGGAAAGGGTTGATGAGAGTCTGAATGAGTAAGTCAGCAAGTGATTAAGGGCTGGAATCATGAATGGCTTGCTTGCAGCCTGCGTTGCCTCTGCCGTTTCATACAATAAACAATCCAAGTTATGAAATACACAATGCCATTTAGAAAATGTTCAAATGTAACATGTCAAATTTGTGAATAAACTTTTTCAGTAAAGTACAGATTCTAGTATTTTGTTGGGATGGGTCTCATCCGGAATTCGAATCCACAACCTCAGAGTCAGACACCTAATAGCCAGCACACAATTCAGATGTCTAAGCCAGTCCGCCACAAAAGTCAGACAACTGGTAGTCTATCCAACTAAATAGTGATATTGTTACTAAGCCCCAGTCTGATTGAAAGAAAATGCTACCATCACATTTGAGGTGCCTGTGTTGCCAAACTTGTTTCAAGTAAAAAGCAACATTTCATCATTTACCAAGACTTCTATTAACATTCGCAGCAATATTACATAGGGGAGAGGGTAGCAAGTGTTATAAAACTACAGATCCCTATGTTCTAGGTACATCAACAATGACAAGATCAGAGTGACACTGGGAGACAAGCGTGTTGGCACTTGGCAGTCCGTAGGGAATGGGGTGTTCATGTCCTCAAAAGCCAGGAGGTCGACTGTGGACACCGTCACCTGCAACACCATGCTCAATCATGGCCTCATCGATGGTGGAATGTATCTCACACACAAGAAGGTCAAGGTGCCCGATCATGTCGTAGCAGCGGCTCTCACAGATGGTACGCTGAGACTAGTGTCATCATTCATATCTGGAACGTCTTGAAGACTCCTGTTGGCATGTATTGTTTAAAAATTAAACAACTGACAATCGGTTTTACAAGTCATGGTTCCAGGAAATATGTTTGTGTTCCAGGATATATATACTGAGGGAAACAAATACAGGAACACTACTTCATGGCAGTGTTTCGTTATTTATTCTCAAATGTCCTCCCTCAGCGCTATTCAAATCTGGTTATGAAAACTGGAAAATATTAAAGGAACTCTTAAATTTTCCTGGGTTCCTTTATTTGTTTCTCTCAGTATATATACTGTACTGTTCACTATGGTCAGTATCCACCTGAAGAAGGGGCAAGAACTAGTTGTTGTTATCCATAAGATTTGTCTTGTATTCACTACACCAACTTCTAAATGCCTTTAGAGTGGTGGGGTAGCCTAGTGGTTAAAGTGTTTGCTTGTCATGCCGAAGACCCGGGTTCAATTCCCCACATGGATACAATGTGTGAAACCCATTTCTTGTGTTCCCCCGCTGTGATATTGCTGCAATATTGCTAAAAGCGGGGTAAAACTTTACTCACCCCACTCTAAATGCCTGTGAATAATTTCCATGATGTTGGTGAGGAAAGTATGAGTTCTACTGCCTTGTAGACAGGGTCATGAAGGTATTTCCTTAGACATGCATTTAACTTACAATCGTGGGTTTGAATCCTTTTCAGGTCTGTCTGCTCGGACATGGCCTTTACTACCTCAGGCTATCCTCACACTTTAAGAATAAATGTCACAATATTTAATAAATAAATTGCTGTTGAAAGCTACATTTAGGCAAATTCACAGAAGCTCTATCTCGGTGATTCTAGGCAAAGCCATTTTGTTTTAGTTGTTTGTTTAAACGATACACTCAATATTGTGCCAGCTACATGATTTGTAATCATTCAAGTTTGGACCTGACATCCGGTGATCATGAGCATTTATCTACACAGTTGGGATATAATGATATACATCAACCACTCAGTAAGCTTGATCACCTGATCCTGTTAGTCACCTCTTACTGCAAGCACCAGGGTTGCTGAATATCAGTTCTAACCCAGACCCTCATCAGTCTTGTAGGTAGTATGTTCATACACTGGCCATATTCTTGACAGGTACAGAGAAGCTGGTGTCCTTAGGAAAGTCTGTCTTTCACAGCCAGGAGGCCCTAAAGCTCACCCGACTATTTTCTGGGACAGTCTATTGTACAACAGGTAGGTCATGTCAGTCAGGGAACAGTCTACTGTACAAGAGGCGAAGTCTTACCCAGGAACAGTCTGATATTACAAAAGACAGCCTGGCATTACTTGCTGTGGTCCTCACAATACTGCTGACAAATCAAATGTCATATGATGATTGAACCTGTACAGCGTTACCAAAATATTGGAGGATTCTTGTACATCATGCCTGTAGAATATTGTATCATTGAACTGCTTCCGTGGTGAGACCGTCGGCCGGAATTGTCCCGTTAAAATATGGTATGCTTCATGTACTTGTTGGTCCCTGCCTGGCGTTCGGGATTAATGGGTACAACAAGGACTGGTCGGCTCGGAGTCAGTATAATGTGTCTGATTGGGGTATTCATGCTTAACTGCGGCATGGTATCTCAGTGGGCTAGCACTATAAAACCAGCTTAAGTCTGGTCTAGTAGAAACAGCCACACATACACACGCATACATGTCATATGAATGAAATATTCGTAAGTGCGGCGTTTATACCTCATGTCACCTCACCTATTGTATCATTGAGTAGCTTCAATGTAAAATAATGCTAGGTATTGAAATATATACAGTGGTCAGAGAACGGAGTTATCCACATGCCTTCCCTGGTGTTGTAGGTGTCAGCCCACAGAATGCTGTGTTCTGGACAGATGAAACCTCACACCAACTAGAGGAGGTTGCCAAGAGCCCAGGCTGTGTCGCCATTGGCCCGTGTGGGTATGACCTGAGTACGGACAAGATGGTCGACACAGCTGTTCAACAGCTGCAGGCGTTTGAAGCACAGGTAACAACCGGGAGGTTTGGTCAGGTTGACGTTGCTTGAAGATCACGTGGTGGCAATTGTGTGACGTATCTATGTGAAACTGTCACACCGTGATAGCGTTGGTTGTTGCTTACACTGTCTAGCACTGTTTTTCCTCACTGTCTCAGAATAGATCACTGTGTCATGGTAGAAAAAATACTGGCTGCACTTTTTCAATTTCACATTCCTACTTACTTCTTGACAGATGTTCAGTGAATGTCTGCAAGAACTCTTTGTTCTTTGTAAAATGCAAACTATATTTCAGTATTACTAGCTATATACCGGTAGTTAATGTTTTAACTGATGGGCTGTCTGGCTGTGTGGCAAGAGTTGCTTCCCTTGTTTCAAGTTGGAAATGCCACTAACCTTGTGAAAGGTGGCCCCACTATTGCACTGACAGCATGAGGTGAACTCCCCTGATCTTGTATCTCCAGCCACATTGACCTTCACAGTGGGTGTACTGGCTTGTTGTGGGCCACTCATGTTGCTTTGCATCTGTTACAATGTTACCTGTTGACAGCAGCTGTTTCACCCACAAATACACCAGATTGATCATCAGATAGTATAAATGCCTCCTATTTATATATCTTGGTTGATCAGGAGCCATTTTTAAAGTGTTTAATTATGAAATAAGTGCAAATTAACCGGATAATCATGCATTATTCGGACAAACATATGTGTGAAGCTTATTTCCTTATTATTTGTAAGTTTTCAGACCTTATATGTTGCTCTCGTCATGTCTACTTGTCAAATTAAACACTAGACATAGTTCTTGAAATACAAAATGAAAGATGACAACAATGCTGGCATCCCTCGCTATAACCCGGGTCTTGAGGTCCATGAATGAACCTCCCCGTTATGAGACACCTGCGTATTAAACACGGAATAAAGACCAAGTAATATGATATTTTCCACGAGGACTGCAAAACTGCTATTTAGTACGTAAGTAGGACTTAAAGTGACAGAACGTTCCTATGTTTAGCATCAATGGACTCTGTGCGTGCGTGTGTATGTGGGTGTGTGCGTGTGTGCAAGTGTGTACCAAGTGTTATACTGACTTTATCTGTCCCCAGATTCAGCTGGCTATCCGTCTTAACATGCCCCTCGTTGTGTGTGAGACCATGGCCAAATCGGAGGTGATGTCGCTCCTCACATCATACAAGGACAAGCTGCCACGGGTTGCAATCCTCACGAAACCAGCCAGCTTAGATGTGATCACAGACTATTTGGATCATGGGTTTTACTTCTTTGTACATGGTTAGTTCTTGATTTGTCTGTCTACTGAACATCTGAATGGCTCATCAGAGTTTAAAATTCTCCATAAAATCTACAAGTCTAGATTCAGTGAAATAGAAACAAACAGGACACCACCGAGGCCATGGCATGTGGACTCGTGGGAGACTCTGTTACATTAATGCTAATTGTTCTTTGAATATGTGTAAACGTTGGTCTTAATGGTGGTGAGAAATTAAGACCTCAATTCAATTGTCCACAGGAAACAGTTATAATCAGTTACCAATGTGTAAGCTATAAAGCCTCTGTGGCAGACAGATTAGTGATGTCATTTGATTGTGATGTCATAGTTAAAGTGATATCTCATAGGAGATTGTGCCATCTCAGCCATCTGATGTCGGTGGTTGATAAGTTGATAAACATTACACATAGAATACACATTGTATGAAGTTTGCAATCTTGTAGGTCACTTGTGGCTGCCCGGGTCAAGCAGCCCTGTCTGGATTTGGCTCAAGAACTGTACCCCAGAACAGCTGACTAGAGTGGTGGTGTCCAGCCAGATGCCAACGTCAGGATGCCCGACCAGGATGTCCGTCCTGTGTGACATCATCATTCAAGCACTGGAGAAAGATGAGGGTGATGTGAGGGGAATCCTCAGGGACAACACTGTCAGGTTTTATGGTCTATCTGACAGGGAGACTGATGGTGTTACTGAGGATGGAGGTAGCAATGTTGTTGCTGCTGAAGTTGGATCACATGGAGAGGAAGAGGGTGGTATAAGTATTGACAGTAGCCTTGTTCATCCAACTGTGAGCTGTGAAGTAGCAGAGAGTGACAGTGTCCAAGTGTCAGCTGATGTCAAGGTTGTACCTGCTGATGATGAGTGTGAATGTCTAGGTGATGTTCACTCCACTTCATCACTTGTTGGGGAGGAAGATCGAAGTGTAGAGGACAGATATTCTGACCATGAAACAGGACATCTTGTGTCTGATGAAGCAGACGTCAGTTCTTCAAAAGTCAGAACAAAGGCACAACATGATGAGGGACAAGCAGACGTCAGTTCTTCAAAAGTCGGAACAAAGGCTCAACATGATGAGGGACAAGCAGACGTCAGTTCTTCAAAAGTCAGAACAAAGGCACAACATGATGAGGGACAAACAGATGTCAGTTGTTCCAGTGTTGGATCAAACATTAGTGTGCCAGAAGTCTGTAGCCAGAAAGATAGAGATGGAACTGTGAATGTTGAAACTAATTGGACCTACAGGATTCTGTTGTGGTTGGCTTTCATCAGTGGACTAACAGCAATGTATTTCTATGGCAACTGAGCATGGCTTGTCTTATTCCAATGCTGGTTCCAGCAAGGGTAGGGGGTTCTGTGGCTGGTTCTTGGTGTCAGGTTGACACAAAACTGTACAATAAACCTATGTATTTGTTGTGTTTATAAACTTGATAAAATTTAATAAATCTAAATTCATATATATTTATGTTTGAGTGGCATCTAGGGAATAGTGATTGTGGTTATGCATTTCCTGCGGGTAAATTCAACCTATAGTAAAGGACATGGGACCTATTGGGACAAACATGAGTGAGGAAGGAAGGATGGGTTGGTGGATGTGTTGTTGGTTGGGTGAGTGAGGTAGAGGAAGGAAGGGGGGTTAGTGGATGGGTTGTTGGTTGGGTGAGTGAGGTAGAGGAAGGAAGGGGGGGTTAGTGGATGGGTTGTTGGTTGGGTGAGTGAGAGGTAGAGGAAGGAGGGGGGTTAGTGGATGGGTTGTTGGTTGGGTGAGTGAGGTAGAGGAAGGAGGGGGTTAGTGGAAGGGGGTTGTTGGATGGGTGAGGTAGAGGTTGGAAGGGGAGTGAGTGGATGGGTTGTTGGTTGGGTGAGGAGTTAGAGTGAAGGAGGGGGTTGGTGGAATGGGTTGTTGGTTGGGTGAGTGAGGTAGAGGAAGGAGGGGGGGTTGGTGAATGGGTTGTTGGTTGGGTGAGTGAGGTAGAGAAAGGAAGGGGGATTGGTAGATGGGTTGTTGGTTGGGTGAGTGAGTGAGAGGGATGTGTGGTGGCTTGGTGGATGGGTTGTTGGTTGGGCGAGTGAGTGAGAGGGATGTATGGTGGGTTGGTGGATGGGTTGTTGGTTGGGTGAGTGAGGTAGAGGCAGGAAGGGTTGGTTGGTGGATGGGTTGATGGTTGGGTGAGTGAGGTAGAGGAAGGAAGGGGGTTGGTGGATGGGTTGTTGGTTGGGTGAGTGAGGTGAGGTGAGGTGAAATTGGGTTTTATGTCGTGCTTGAGAATATTTTGCTCATATGTGTGTATGTGTATGTGCGGCTGCTTGTACTAGCCCAGACTTAAGCTGGTTTTATAGTGCTAGCCCACTGAGATACCATGCCACAGTGAAGCATGAATACCCCACTCAGACACATTATACTGACTCCGAGCCGACCAGTCCTTGTTGTACCCATTATTCCCGAGCGCCAGGCAGGGACCAACAAGTACCATATTTTAACGTCTTTTGGTATGAAGCGTTCGTGAATCGAACCCGCGACCTTCCGCTCTCCCGGCGGACGCTCTAACCACTACACCATGGAGGCGGTCTGGGTGAGTGAGGTAGAGAAAGGAAGGGTGGGTTGGGTTGTTGGTTGGGTGAGTGAGAAGGATATGTGGTGTGTTGGTGGATGGACATCTGGGCTGGTAACTTCAAACACTTAACAGCCCGGAAGAGATTTAACCAGTCCTTGTTAAATACTAAATAGACAGTGCCAATGGACACATTATCTGAATATGTTTTTTCACCTGTCCATCGGGTTGGCTAGCTGTAATATTAGACCCTCCGGCAAAAATCTAGCCCGTCTTGCGCTGTCGGACGGGCCTTATTTCATACACTGAGTATTCCCTGAAATTATTGAGAAAGTTGTTTCAGCAAATATCTAATACATGTATATAACTATAGAAGTTTTACTTAAATAAATATGTTGAGATATATGATTCTCTTACAGTCTTAGTGTCATTCCAGTACGTTGTGAGACTTAATATTCGACAATATCCTCAATATTGTAAAGTTCTTTTTGGTTTATTCTGACCTTCAGTCTGAAACTTGAACATTTTCGTCCGACAACCACTGTTTTGTGTAGCCCGCAGTGTATTTTGGGTCGTTATCACGCTAGAAAATCCAATTATATTCACACAGTGTTCGGGTCGATGGAAGGAGGTGACCATTTAAGATCTCAACATATCGTTCCTTTGTCAAATTTCCAGTGAAAACACACAACGGCGTCACTCCATATGATGATGTCATGTAATGAATGCCTGTATTATCATTATCTCCATAAATATATCTACATGTGAAACTTCGGGTTATGTTTTGGGCGTTGGTAGATAGGATTAACAGTATCTTTTGTCAAAATTTTCACACAGTTCGAAAAAAGCCAGACAGAACTTTCATCAGAAAAGATAACTTTATACCTATCTTGATTTTTGTGAACCCTACACTAGTTTAAACGTCTTTCTTTTTGCTCATCTTTCATCAATGGTGAGGGAATTCCGTGCTTTTTCTCCTAGTTAAGTCTTTGTAATTCTTGTCTAAGAGTTTCATTACATACCTGAGGACTTCCTCTATTAATCGTCTCGTTTCTGATATTCTCAACGCTTTCAATTTTCCCCTTCTCACAATCTGTCCAAGTCGCCGGCAATCCCTGAACTTCCGTGGCCTCCCTGCCCCTGTCTTGTGCTTAATCCCAACTCTTGACTGAATATTCTTCAAAGTTCTGTATACTGTAGACAGAGGAATCTCATGTCTACCAGCTAACTCTTTTGCATTAGTCACACCCCATTCAAAATCATCTAGAATCAGCTTTCTTTGTCTTCTGCTGTCAAATTTGCCGTGTCAACGAAGAAAGCCATTGTTACACCGGGGGGAGATAACTCTCGACGTAGTAAGGTTCATTCTTAAGCCTACAAGAGTTGCCTCCCATGTTGAGTACCCATACTACATATTGTAACACCTATTTTAATATTCTATTATCAGTATTAGGAAACAAAGATTTTCTCAATAATTTCTGGGAAAACTGTGTGACGTTGCAGTCCGCAATATTTGAACTAAATCACAGCAGCCCGTAGATGATCCATTCAAGACTAAACAAACTGGTGGTTGATAGTATGACCATGGTTCATTCAAATGGAACATGACTGGTGATACATATTTATGACAAGGCAATTTGACCACTCTATTTCCTTATTCTATTTTTGTACAAAATGTTGTTGCTTGGAAAATAGTATTCATATTTTTCATAGTATTAAGACATAACCATTAAAAATAGAAAAGGAACATTATTCAGATATCCCATTAACTTAATATCCGAATAACTTGACCTTCAATGAATAATTAGAACACAATTCGCAAAAAGAACGAACACTTTGGTTTATTCAGAGAAGCAAACATGGCAATAATTAACTCATTTTGTATTGCTGATAACTATGGCCATTTTCAAGATCCTGGTATACAATCCGGAAAAACTCACATATCCATCAATAACCAACAATGTTGTTATCTGGTGGAACTGACTTTCCAAGATACCGAGTTTTAAGAACAGTTTACTGAAATGTGATATTTGCTTAATGACGGGTACACGTATTTGCACGCGATGCTCGCCTTTGACTTAGAAAATGCATACCTAAAATAATAAAACACAAACAACAATGATATGAATATAAATGGCTAGATGGGAGTTAAAAACAGGTGTTGCAATACATTTTATGAATTCTCTGACACGGAATTTTACGTAATGCGCCTATGGCAGAGAAACATTTCCAATTGTTTTAACCCTAACAAACACGGGGACTGCAAAGAGTCGTGTCCTTTGTGGTCGTATCTTGCTGTCTTGGTCAAACTACAATCACATCAAATAAGTTAAATTATATTACCGTGTAAATAAATTAGATGAAATTTGATTGGTTGATCGTCGGTGAACATGTGAAACCGTACTCTAAAGTGTCACGGGTAGTATGGATCCGTCTTACCCAGCTCCAACGGGTACCATGGATCACGACCGTTTGACAGTTTGCGACCTTTGACATTAAAATCCAACTCACTTGGAGAATTCAACTATATTAGTACGAAATGTTTTATTCATCATGCTGTAAAGAATATGCCATGTTTTACTATGAATGGAAAGAAATAGTACCTAAAGATATATTCTAAACGATGGTATTATTTGAACACCCCCCACCCCCACCCCCAATCTATGTCTCTTAGAACATATATATTACGCCAGCAAGACTTGTGTCCTTCGAATATCGAACAATAATGTCCGTCTGTGACAACAATGATGGCGAAACGCTGTGCGTTCAAAACCGTAACAGAAATATATAGTTAAAAAATCAAAGGGTAATTAATGTCGTTACACGGCCATTTACCAGGTAGTATGGGATTGTACGACCCGTTTATTTCCTCGGCCAGAAGTAACTAGTAATGTACATATGTTGCATCATCATCATCGTTTATCATAGTATGTATGGTATATCACAGAAGTTTATTTCAGTATGTATGGTAATGTACAAACGAGAGTATCCCTGCATGTAGAACAGCAGATGGACGTGACTTACATCTTGATAAATGTATAATTTCAGATTTCTATATAAACCAAAGATATGAGACCTTTCTATAATCACCAAATACGAAAATCTGTCTGATAGAATCAAGTCGGTATGTACAGAATCGTGTAGCAAATTGAATGTCATATATTTAAACAAGCTTGCAATTTATTAATAGGACACCTGCGAGCAACAATGGCCCAGCCGTGAAGATCAGGGTCGGAATTGGTCTTCAGCAACCCATGCTTGTTGTAAGAGGCGACTAACGGGATCGGCTGGTTAGACTCGCTGATTGGTTGACACGTAACAGTATCCCGATTGCGTAGATCAAAGGTCATGGTGTCAATCACTGGGTTTTCTGGTGCAGACTCAATTATGTACAAACTCATACAGATGGGATATTGCTGAGGGCTGCGTAAAGCAATACAGAGACGATGTGCACCCAGATAGTCATGGAGGTCTACACAGACATACTCGGTAAGAAAATATTGGAACACACTTGGACACATGTGCTGGTATGATACACCGTAAACACCTGGACAATAGTTAGTTTGGCGAGTTGCCTAGTTTGACATTGGTCAGAACAATGAAAAGGTGCCCGTCACATTGGATGACGTCTCGTGGCTACGTCATGAGCTGCTGACGTCAACATCAACCTGTCGCACGTTGAGTGTGTGTTGTTGATGTTGCTGTTGTTGATGCTGATCACCCTGGGGTAATTACTGATAATAATTCGTGAATGTCTCCCCAATCAGATAATCCTGCTGTACAAACACAAAAAAAAATCACTACAATTCGCAACATCATGTGAGTAGAATCCGCCGTCGAAGAGGACGACCTCTCATCGAAGTGTTGAGGGCCGTTGCAGTAACTCTGGTCACACAGCGTCATACAC